TCTGCCATTTGATTGATGTGTAATGTAATTCAAATTTCTAAGTTTCGGCTCACAAACGTTTTTCTTCAAACTGCACCAAAAACCAACCACTTCACAATGTGCTGAGATAGCCCATAACCTCTTGTTTTAATGTGGAAGATGAATACAAACTAATTCAATCAAATGATAACTTTCTATTTTATTTATTAATTGACAATTACCCTCAGCCGACTACTATCTATACATTCTAACAAACTAAACTGTTCAAGTGTCATTCAGTTCAATTCTGTAACTAACAAGTTTGCAATATTGCGTTGTCTTGATGCAAGATCCACGACTTGTCTTTCCATAACTGCGGCCGTCTCCTACGAACTCGCCCTCGCAGTGTTACCAGGACTTGCAAATAATAAGTTCGTTTCACAGTTTGACCCTCTGGAACCCATTGAGTCATCACGACGCCGTTCATGTCGAAGAAAACAATGAGCATTGCTTTGAATTTGGATTTCGACATCCTTGCTTTTTTCATTCTCGGAGTTTCAACATCATACTGGAAAATCCAAGTTTCCTCGCATGTGATGACCTTTGCAACAATCCAGGCTCTTCCACTAACCTTTCAAGAACATCTGAACAGATCTGGTGGCGCACAAGTGTTTGTTCTGGGGTCAAGTTTTGCGGTACGACGCGAGAAAAAAACACGCTGGCTTCAAAACGCAATAGCATAAATACTACTCAACGCACAAAAACGTCTTTTTGGACTGGAATAGGTGACACTTCAAGGTTTCCTACGATGTGTTCGTTTCCCCCTCTACACTTCTGATACGCGTTCTGCGCGCGCAGTCTCGTTATATAATAGCCGGACCTCGTATTATGGTCTAAGGCTTATATTCAAACACAGCGCCATCTACAACCTTCTTATAATGAATGCAGATAGACATATGTTATGTCTCTGAATTAATGATACGTATAATGCATAGTTGGCATCGCTCTAATTTTTCGAGATGTAATTTTTTTTATTACGAATTGAATAGAACGAAAAAGTAACAACTTGCAACTTATTTCATTAAACGTGAATATATAAAAATGGCGACGAGGATGGGATTTGTGCGAAGTGTAAGAAGGTAGGCCACATTGCCACCGTTTGTATGCAGGGGGGAAACATTAAAACAGTTCGACAAGTAACGCAATCCGAGGATAATGATGACATCGTTGAAGACGATCAATTTGAAATGTATACGATTGGAAATATTTTTCACATGCACGGCGTAAAAAGCGGAGGGAGTGGCAAGTTTATGGTGAACATCCAGGTGGAACAGAACAATTGTGAATTTGAACTGGATACGGGGGCAGCAGTTTCGACGATGTCTTATCGAAATTTTTTGAAGGTGTGTCCTGGGCTCTCGATTTCCGACACATCTTCTCGATTGAGGACTTACTCTGGTGAGATAATTGAGCCACTGGGCACATGTAATGTTACGATCAGTTTTGGAAACAAAGTAACCATTGGGCGCTTATTTATTGTGGGAGATCATGTTGACTCTATTTGCGGCCGACAGTGGATTAGGATCCTGGATCTTCATAAACGTCCGCTGAATGACTTAGAAATTCACGAGGTCACGGTCACGCAAGCAAATTCCGATGAATTGTTGAAGTCGTTTTTGAAGGAATTCGGCGATGTTTTCGATGATAAATTAGGTCGAATTCCAGCGATGGAGAGCAATTTACAAATGCTAGAGAACACCGCACCAAAATTTTGGAGAGCTCGACCAGTACCGTATGCCTTGAAAGATCGTGTGAACGCTGAAATTGATCGACTAGAGGCGATGGGCGTGATTGAAAAGGTTGTTCACAGTCAATGGGGAACACCCGTGGTTCCGATTGTAAAATCTGACGACTCCATTCGTTTGTGTGCGGATTACAAGGTGACATTGAATCGATTTTTGAAGGATGACAAGTACCCCATTCCCAGGATCGAAGATATTTTTGCGAAAATGAGCGGGGGAAGATTTTTCTGTACACATGATGTCAGTCGCGCGTATCTACACATGCCTGTTGACGAACATAGCGCAATGTTGCAAGCCATAAGTACTGAAAAAGGGGTTTACAAGGTCAATAGATTAATGTTCGGAGTAAAGACTGCACCCAATATTTGGCAGCGCTTTATGGATCAACTACTGCACGAATTGGATGGGGTAGCCTGTTTCTTTGATGATATAATCGTGCAAGAATCAACGATCGAAGAAACTATGCAAAGATTAAGAAACGTACTGAAGAAACTGCGAAACAACGATTTGCACTTGAAGAAGGAAAAGTGCCAATTCTTCAAGTCGAACGTGAAGTATTTGGGCCATCGAATTGATTCGAGGGGCCTGCATCCTCTGGATGATAAGACCACTGCGATACGCAATGCTACAACACCTACAAACGTCGAGGAACTGCGTACATTTTTGGGCTTGATAAATTATTATCACCGTTTTATACCCGATCTGGCTACAAAGATAAAACCGTTGAACAGTCTCCTGGGAAAGGAGGTTAAATTTATCTGGTCAGATAAATGCAAAAAGGCGTTTGATATAATAAAAAAAGAATTGACCAGCGACCGGGTTTTGATGCACTATGACCCGAAATTGTCATTGATCGTGGAAACTGATGCATCATCTGTTGGTCTCGGTGCCGTGTTATCACATAAGATGTCCAATGGAATGGAAAGACCAATCGCCTTTGCATCCCGAACATTGTCGAAAAGCGAACAAAATTATAGCCAAATAGATAAGGAAGCAACCGCAATTTTTTTGGGGCATTAACAAATTTTTCCAATATTGCTACGGCCGGAAATTTGTATTGCGCACGGACCATAAGCCGCTAGTGACGATCTTTAACCCCGACAAGGCACTACCAACGCTTTCAGCAATGCGAATGCTGAATTACGCAATATACTTGTCAGGATTCAATTATACAATAGAGTATCGGAGCACGCACGAAAATTTAAATGCAGATTATTTTTCACGTTTCCCAGAACCAACAAAGATTGCTGAAGACGAAACAAGCATATTTTAAACGAAGCAGATAGAGTACATGCCAGTAACACGAGAACAAATTCGACGAGAAACTATTAAAGATGAAGTATTGCGTAAAGTTTGCCACGAACTGGAGAGTAGTTCATCGAACCCGAACGAAACACAAACGAAGTATAACATGCACGATGGATGCATTTTCTATGGTATGCGCGTTGTCATCCCAAAATCACTGCAACAAACAGTTTTGAACGAATTACACGATGCTCATTTGGGAATGACGAAGATGAAGGCTATGGCACGTAGTTACTGTTTTTGGAATGGTATTGATGCCGATATTGAAATGACGGTAAAGAAATGTCGAAGTTGCTGTTTGGTTCAGAAGGAAGCCGCCAAAGTTCCAGTGCATTCGTGGGAGTTTCCATCGTTCCCATTTCAACGAATTCATATAGACTATGCTGGGCCATTCATGAACACGAACTTTCTATTGATCGTCGACGCTTACAGTAAGTGGCCGGAGATTTTTCCTACGAGGAATACTGACACGAAAACTACGATTCGAATTTTGAGAAGGACGTTTGCTAGGTTTGGTATTCCAGTTACGATGGTTAGCGACAATGGCCCACAATTTCGATCAAACGAGATGGACACATTTACGAAACAAAATGGTATTCGCCACAAATTCACGGCGCCATACCATCCAGCAAGTAATGGGCAGGCTGAACGTTATGTGCAAATGCTGAAGAAGGGTTTGCGTTGCATGGCAGATGAGCCTGGTGATTTGGATTTGAAGTTGGATCGCCTGCTGATACAATATCGAAAGGCACCGAACAGTACAACAGGTCAAAGTCCAGCTGAACTCATGTTTGGGCGACAAATCCGAACCAAATTGGTTCTCATGAAACGAGATCTGACCACTGAGATGAATGAAAATTCGTCGAATGAACCAGTATCACGAGAATTTGTATCAGGTGACAAAGTACAGATACGGTCATACCGAAACTTACGAGTTAAATGGGAATTTGGGACTGTATTCGCACGATGTGGCCTTACACATTATGATGTAGAAGTGGATGGCAGACATCGAAAGTGTCACGTAAACCAGATGCGACGAACGCTTTGTGAAGGAGGAGATGATACCCATGCAGATCATTCAGATTCGGCCTTAGAAGCCGCACCAAGTACATCGCAACCACATCCAACCATTATGTCGAAATCAGCCGAGACAAGACCAGCGTGTGTTTCTACCGATTCTTCGGTGATTGACTCAACTTCACCCATGAGATTACCGGTTGGTCAATCAACACCTTATAGGCAATCAAATACTTGGCAACAATCGCCGCAGCAACAGGAGTCTGAAACTGACCAAGAACCGACGTTGGTACAACCAGATTCAGCAGATATTCTTCGTAGATCAGGCCGATTGCGTTTACCGCCAAACCGCTTGAATTTATAGTTGTAATTAAGGAGGGAGGATTGTTATGTCTCTGAATTAATGATACGTATAATGCATAGTTGGCATCGCTCTAATTTTTCGAGATGTAATTTTTTTTATTACGAATTGAATAGAACGAAAAAGTAACAACTTGCAACTTATTTCATTAAACGTGAATATATAAAAACATACAAAGGCAAAATCGCTCATGCGCACGTGTGCGGATGGTATCTGTGCTAGTCACAGCAAATTTTTTTATTTTCAAATTACATGGTCTGTTGTTTGATCAAACAAGTTTTATGCGGCTAAATAATGTACAGTCGACGCAAAAGCAATTTTGAAAGCAGGAATCAATGACAAGCGCGGAGTGGATTGCAGATGCTGGAACACTCACTCACTAATCACTATGCATAAAACATGCACATATTGAAATGTTTATTATTCCTAAAACGGTTTGACTTGTTTTAGTTAAGTATGTCATTATACCGAAGTTTCACCGAACTGATTATGTTTATTAATTGATTTTGTATATTTTTATCATATCAGAAGTTGAACTAATTCATTTCGTTTTTCAGACGCCATACCTGAATGATGTAATCCCTGCAGAAAGTTACATTCTAAAAATCGTGGACACACACATTTCAACACTATCGATGTCTCTTCACTTCAGCATCAATCTATCGCTTAAAAGATTACTGCAATGCTTGGTTAAATTTATTTGTCAACATGCCCCGAAAACTGACAATACAGACACAAAGAATAAAGCAATTGAACTGCTTGTTCTCATTACTCTAGATTTAAGAACTGAATTTTTATTTGAAAATGTTTCAAAGACATTAGACAAGATGATTGGGGATCCTGAAACAGATGAACACCAGAAAAGAGTTTATCTTCACTTCTTAGAACACACTTACAAATTGATTGTCAGTTACACATCTTCTAATACATGCAATGCGGGGGTAGACGAAAAAATGTTGCACGGATGCTTGAAGTTCTATGAAAAAATTTTAGAAAAATCTTCCGGTAGACAAGCTTTAGAAAGTTTTTTCACCGGCGATAAGCACTTGGTGAAAGTCCTAATGTCTGTGTCCAGTCCCCAAATGTCTCAGCAATACAGTACTCGAGTGCTTCACTTTTTTAACAAACTATTTCAAACTGCCGAAAAAAGCTCGACGGATCCTAGTTTAAATTACTTATGCAGCAGTATGAGCAAATTGGCTAACGTGGAGACAGACAAACTTCAGGTGTGGTTACGACATGTTATTTTGGGCCCAACAAATATGACGAGCAGTTCGTCATCGTCAAATATCCAAACACCAACTCTTTCAGTACCCTCTAAACCTGAAACATCTAAGGGTAATGGTAAGACAGGGGAAAGTAATGACATTCAATGGAATTCCAATCGTGTCGCCAGTTCCGAATCAAATCCCTCTCCGAGTCCAAGTGATGATCAAAAGTCGTTAGTACAAGAAAATAGCCAGTTGCTGCAGGCACTTACATCATTTATTGTAAAGCAAAGCAGTAATGTATCGGAAGACGTTGCGGTTACCATTTTAAAGGCACTATTACCAGTCGCTTCGCATATCTTATCACCAGCTTTGGAAGGAGCCGGATTTACCGATTTGATGGTCGTCATAACAATGTTGGCTGATGCTGGTCTAGGCAAGGGTCACATTAGTTTATTTCCTGCAGCTGCCGAGTGGTTGGAGATTTGCAAAGTTTATTTAACAAAAAAAGAAGTTGTCGATAAATTAACTGGCAATGTCGAATTATCGAAGAATTCTGTGATGCTGGAGGCGGTGTGCTGTCTTTTGGATTACGTCGGAGATGTTGTGAATTGTTTAACAAATCAATATCAAAGTAGTTTTCGAGCATTCAGCCCACCTTGGGAAGGTGAAACTCCTTTGGAGATGGATTCGGAGTGGTTGGATGAATTGCATGATGATGATGATAGCGGGGACGATTCTGATGAAGATGCTTTGTGTAATAAATTATGCACTTTTACGGTTACACAGCAAGAGTTTATGAATCAGCATTGGTATCATTGCCATACATGCCATATGTTAGACGGTGTCGGAGTGTGCTCTGTGTGTGCACGGGTATGTCACAGAGGTCATGAGTTAACTTATGCCAAATACGGAAATTTCTTTTGTGATTGTGGAGCGAAAGAAGATGGAACTTGTCAAGCCTTGGTGAAGCGCAGTCCTCAATCCATTGTAGAACGAGAACCAGGTAATACCACAAATTCCGGAGGCACATTCGGTTATTCCTCCGAAAGCATGCTTACAAGTTCTTTAAGAAGAAGAGCTTCGTCTCCCATTCTTTTTGAGAGTAGTCAGTTTCATAAAGATAGAAAGGTTGGAACTGTTGTTAAACAATTGGAAGGGTCTCGAGAGTGGCTACTAAACTACTTAGGTGGATCCTCTATACCTGGTACGCTAATAGAATTGGTAGAAGCTTTGGTACCTGCCACCGAAGCCGCTTGCAATCGTACATCTCCGGTTGGGTGTCACAGCCGTGCACTGAAAGCCTTACAACAACTTCACTTCACGGACAAGAAATATATACACACAGATCAATTAATGGTACCCACCTTGGGTTCCCAAGAGGGAGCGTTTGAGAATGTTCGTATGAGCTACGCCGGCGAACAAGGACAAACCATTCGACAATTACTATCTGCACATATACTACGAAGGGTCGCAATGTGTTGCATGTCTTCCACACACGGTAAAAGACAGCATCTTGCAGTATCTCATGAGAAGGGAAAGATTACGGTTTTACAACTATCCGCTTTACTTAAGCAGGCGGATTCATCCACTCGAAAACTCACACTCACCAGGTTAGCGTCCGCCCCGATTCCTTTCACAGTGCTCACTTTGGCAAGTAATCCTTGCAATGAGGACGTATTGGCAGTCTGCGGACTGAAAGATTGCCACATTTTAACATTCCTACCAACCGGATCTGTTGCGGATCACCTTGTGTTACATCCCCAATTAGAGACTGGGAATTTTATCATTAAATCTTTATGGTTACCTGGATCACAGACAAAGTTGGCTTTAGTCACAGCAGATTTTGTCAAGATATATGATTTGGTGAAAGACGCTTTGAGCCCCCAATACTATTTTCTGGTACCAAGTGGAAAAATCAGGGACTGTACCTTTATGTATGAAGATGGAATTTACAACATTTTATTAATGTCGTCACCCGGCCATATTTACACGGAAATTTTGAATGAAGAAAGTTCTGCAAAACATGGGTCATTCTATGTTACCAATACTTTAGAAGTATTCGATTTAGATGTTACGGTAAATTTTCTTGACAGTTTGAACGTGTTTTTACATTTCCCAATTTTTAGGATGTTAGCGGTCAAGTAGCCGGTGGTGGTGTTAGCATATACTACTCACATACTTTGGGTTTATTGTTTTACAGTTACACACAAGGAAAGAGTTTCATTTCCCCAATAACACCACGAAGCAATTGTCTCACAGTTGTGTTTCCAATTACTGTTCCTGCAACGGCTAATTCTAGTTCGAAAAGCAATGGTGGAAAAAATCCTACACCGCAACCGCTCTGCCAGTGGACTGAAATACCCAACCATCCTGGCCTTATTTGCTGTGCAATGCAAAGCAGTAAGTATAATGTCTCAATTTCTCACTTCAAACCATCGCAATATTTATCATCTGGGAAGATATGCTCGAGTCTACCCGATATATTTCGAATGAAAATATCGCATGCGATAACCGTATGCAGAGGCATATCCAAGACGTTTATCGTCTCTCATTTAAAAAAACTGCAGCGAAGTACGAGACAACGAAATGGTAAGAGGAGTGCTCCAAATATAAACAAAACACAATTTGCGCAGGTAATGCTGATTCATGCGATATTCGATATTTCACTATTATCGCATGCGATACTTGGTCGAGCGGACTCAAGCATACGGTCCCTGGCAAAAGATTACATGATATACATCGAGCAAATTTAATTTGAAAATACCACTTTTAAGAGGAAATGTGTGTAGCGTTCTTTCTAATCTAAATATGCCACGGCATGTCCTTTTGAGATAAAATTCTGTTAACAGATCCAAAATACAGGGTGTCTAACAATGAGCTGAGTCGATTATTTCATCAGATAAATGTTAAATGTCAAATGTTTGTCTTTTGTGTTTAATTGACTTGTCCTATACACTTTGTTTGTCTTACAGGATGAATATATATTTATTATTATATGGGAAACTTAACAGAAGTAAATTTTTTAAATAGTGTACATGTGGGTTTTTTCATTGAGCACATACGGCTAAGTGATTTTCAGTTTTATACTAGTTCCAGTTGCACCAGAGCTGGACTAGTATTCTAAAATAAAATAAACCGATACAACGAAATATCGAAGGATCCTCAGTATTACAATCACTTTTAACGACAATTTATTTTAATCTTACAAAATACATTTTATAGTTAACAAAAATGCATCAAATTCATGTCTTGGGCTTTGAGATAATGCTCTTGGTTTTTTTTCCCAACGATCTTGGTGCATAAATAACGATTTTGACATGTTTTGATCAAAATCCATGTGGTCCATAAAAATAGATCAAATTCATGTTTAGATCATTGAGATAATGCTCTTGATCTTTTTCCCAACGATCTTGGTGCATAAATAACGATTTTGACATGTTTTGATCAAAATCCACGTTTTCGCCAAAAATTCATCAAATTCATGTCTTGGGCATTGAGATAATGCGCCTAGTCTTTTTCCCAATGATCTTGGTGCATAAATAACGATTTTGACATGTTTTGATCAAAATCCACGTGGTCGCCAAAAATGCATCAAATTCATGTCTTGGGCATTGAGATAATGAGTCATTTTCCCAACGCTCTTGGTGCATAAATAACGATTTTGACATGTTTTGATCAAAATCCACGTGGTCGCCAAAAATGCATCAAATTCATGTCTTGGGCATTGAGATAATGCGCCTAGTCTTTTCCCAACGATCTTGGTGCATAAATAACGATTTTGACATGTTTTGATCAAAATCCATGTGGTCCATAAAAATAGATCAAATTCATGTTTAGATCATTGAGATAATGCTCTTGATCTTTTTCCCAAATCTTGGTGCATAAATAACGATTTTGACATGTTTTGATCAAAATCCACGTTTTCGCCAAAAATTCATCAAATTCATGTCTTGGGCATTGAGATAATGCGCTTAGTCTTTTTCCCAATGATCTTGGTGCATAAATAACGATTTTGACATGTTTTGATCAAAATCCACGTGGTCGCCAAAAATGCATCAAATTCATGTCTTGGGAATTGAGATAATGCGCCTAGTCTTTTCCCAACGATCTTGGTGCATAAATAACGATTTTGACATGTTTTGATCAAAATCCACGTGGTCGCCAAAAATGCATCAAATTCATGTCTTGGGCATTGAGATAATGCGCGTAGTCTTTTTCCCAACGATCTTTGTGCATAATTAACGATTTTGACATATTTTGATCAAAATCCATGTGGCCTCAGAAAAATAATTTAACATTTTTGAATCACACACATGCGGTTATCAAACGTGCACGTTATCAACTCTTTCAGCATCAAGATAATGCGTTTGAAAGCTTTTACAACTCTAAATTCATGTGTAAAGAATAATTTTGGGTACATTTTGCTCTAAAACTTTTGACCGAGACCACAGAGAAGAGTTATATTGAATTGTTACACATCTAAGAGTCATAGGGAATAATCTAGCGAAAGTCCGAACTCGATACATGACCTAGGGAATGAAATATGTTAATTTTTATTATATTGAGTTCGCAGTTTTTCCTGTTCCCGATTCACTCGAAGTCGTATAACTTTTGTTCCTGTTGAACCAGCTTCCTGAAAATCAATAGCGTCCGTTCTTAATGTCCAACGTACCCGTATACCAAATTTCAACACAATCGGCCACTTTTAAAAAGAGTTAGAGCGCACACGGACGGACGGACGGACGGACGGACGGACGACAATACAAAACTATAAAGGATCTGAGGATCCTTAATAAATTAAATTATTAATATTTGAATTTTTAAAAAATAAGATAAACAAAACATATCCATTATTTTCATAAATACATCAATTTTTTACCTAATACAGGGAGATATCACATAAGAGTAATCATTTGCCGCAACCAGGTGTATGTGTACCAATACAAAACAAAAACATAACCTATAATTCCGATTTGTGATTCTTGTTACTTTCCTCCATTTCAAAACGAGTTTCTTTCAAATATTTACAAGGTCGGTAAATTGCTTATAAATTATAAACAAACGTTTTTTTAGTTGTAGCGGGTAAAAGGTAATAGGTTTACTCCGACATGCCTTTTACTTTAGAAGAGAATAAGATGCTTTTGCAGTCCTGTTTCCGGAATGGGGCTAAAGACGAAAATTGAGTTTGGCAGTACTCCATAGGTTTGTGTATACAGGAGTTTCGAGAAACCTCTTGAGCAAATTCCGAAAAAGCCGCTACTACAAACGGGTATCTCATACGGAACGTGTCGCACTACTGTCTGGAGAAAATTGTACTTTCATCCTTTAAAGTAACCGTGTTACAAGAACTCATCGTCCAGATTTACAAAGCCGTGTAAATTATTGCATGCAATTCGTTTAATGCAAATTTCCGAGATTGCAACGTATTCGGAACCGTTTACACACCATTGCCAAATTACGAGCAGGTATAAAAGCTGCCGTTTGAAACATTACGCAACTGTAGTTACATTCCGTCTTCGAAAACATGGAGAAAAGAGTGGATCCCTGTCTTAATAATGGTGGCGAGCACTTGGAACCGTTGTTATAGTGTGCATGTAATTTACGCAATTACTTCAATATTAACGAGTTGTAAAACAAATAAAATCGTTTCAATTTTTGTAGTAATTAGCTATTTGTGTAGTTTCACATAATTTTGAAACTCACAAGGTGCTTTTAAATGGTTGATTTAGATTAAATATGGTTAAACGTCAAAAGTTTACTTTGGTTTGAAGTTTAAGGTTATGTTTTAGTATTTTTGCATCACGCCTGTTGCGGCAAATGATTACTACCGTCATAATTTATTGAAGCGGCGCAGCAACTCATTATTGATCGCACTGTATGTAAAGAGTCCAAAAATGTTTTACAGAAATTCGTATCCCATTTCTCATGTATTGCAAATGCAAAAACTTTCTCTTCTTTTAGATGGTTATTTAAAATTGCCTTGTGGAAATTTACAATGTCCAATAGATTCGACGTAAATTCAAAAAAACTAAAATTGGTCATTTCTTATATTATCGAAGGTATAAGAGATATAAAAAAAAGTTTTATATAAAAGTTACTGTCTTTGATATGCTTCATTTAGAATTGATGTAAAAAAATTCAAGATGGCTACTTTTGAGGAACATTTACCAACTTCCTAAAGTTAAATAGGCGCCATATTGGATTTTTAGATTATTTGATAGATTTTTTAATTGTCTTTTCAACGAGCTATCATAGCATAAGATTGAAAATAAGATACCAGTTATATCAACGGTTTTTATATTTTAATCAAGTAGACTGTAATGAATTAAAAAAAAAAAAAATAAATTCGAGGCAACAAAACAAGGAAAATAATTACATCAGATGTTTAAAATACTGGCCATTATTAGTGAAACACATTTCAAGACAGTTTACTTTAGGCAATGTGTTGCCATTGATTGTTACTTTAAACGGAAATAAAAATCGGCTTTCTCCTATCTTAATTTGAATGTTATTTCCAAGGTTATTTCAATGAAACATAATGATTCCATAAAATTATAGGTAAGACTATAGTAAGACTAAACAATTTTATTGAACTTTTGAATAAGCATTCAAACAGTATCTCACACTGCCCCTTTGTGCCTAAAGAGGATTATATATTGAAAACGATTTTAAGTTTATTGTCATCCTTTTATACAAATTTGATGTATATTTCGTTAATTTTCTGGAAATTGATTCATTAGGGGGTGCCAATTTTAGTTGGAACATTCTGTCTAATTTCTAATTTTTTTAGGTAATAATCCTGTAGTCCTTATGCTAAAACCAGATGAAATAGCAATTCAAGAAATAAAAATAATTCCTTCAAAATCAAAAATCACTGACATGGTCGCGATTCGTCATCATTCGGGCTCAGAACAACGTACAACACTTATACTTTTATGCGAAGATGGTAGTTTGAAAATTTACATGGCTAATATGGACCAAACTGGTTGGTACACTAAATTTATTTTTGAGTACTTTACCATATGTGTTCTTGAAGGTTTTTGGATGTCTCCTATTATTCAACCTGCTATTATGCACCCGCCAGTGAAAGCGCGTAAAAAGAAAGTTGTCAAAATTGGGAAAACTTCTAGTTCTCTATCATTCCCAATTGATTTCTTTGAACACTGCCAACCAATGAATGATATCGAAATTGGTGGAGCTGATCTCTTACAGGTGTATAATATGTCCCAACTAAAGCATAGGCTGAACACAGCAGGACTTTCTATAACATGTACGAAACCATTAGGATTTAACGTTGACATAACAAACTCTGATAATAATGTAGTCATGACCGGTGCGTCAAATCAGCTAAAAATTGTGCGAAATGTTCACATGAAATGTTTTAGGACTACGTGTTTTAGTAGGTACTCAGGATCCTCATCGAGCACCATCTTTCATAGAGGTATTTGGAAGGATAATCACAATTACAATTACCCGCAGTCGTTGGTACGATATTCCATTTACACGAGAGGAAAGTTTACAAGCCGATAAAAAGGTAACTGTACTATTTGGACCTTCACAGGATCCGGAAACAGTGACTACTCTGGATAGTTTGAAAGTGTATGTATTGAACTCATTGAGATTTTTTAAATTTAATATTTTATATTCTTATTTGATGTAGGTACGGTAAAACAAAGGAAGCATTCGGCTGGCCAGAAGAAACTGAAGAAACCACAAACACTACCTCTGCAACTGCTGCAATGACTTCACTCACAAACATTGATTCCGAACAAACTGTTAATCCCATTCCATTGTCAACACTTGAAAGGTGAGTGAATCATTACAGTGGAAAAGCTTCACACACATTTTGAGCGTACTCAAATGAAGTTCTACCTCAAATTTTATTAATGAATTGACATTTTAAATGATTGGGAGCCTTTTGTTGTGGCCTGTCAAAATTTAGATGTTTAATTGCATTTCCATTCGAAAATAGTAGGAAGTTTACCTAATAAATGATCGTTTTATTTTGATGTATGTGGTTGTAAACAGTTTATTGTAAGGTCTTTTTATATATCAACTTTTAAGGCAGATTTAGGGACTGAAGTGTTATTGCGAAAGTACGTCAGATTGTTATCTTTGGACATGTTTTTTTGAAGATTGTCCAATTATAATTTAGTATTTGTGTTTATTGTTATATTTCTGACATAATACTTTTTTTTATCCATAGGTTGGTTGTTGGAGTACTAGAGGTACTAGATGGAACTTTTTCCCTTTATACAAATGAAGATAAATTAAGCCAGTACAAACCTGCATCCATAAGTGTCGCCACCAAGTTACTCACTCTCGCATCACCACCGTCTTTGCAAATGCACTCAAAAAGCCTTTTATCTGCTCTGCATTCATCTAAGCAAAATTATCACAATTATAAGGTGACAATTTTAAAAGGTTTTTTTATTTTCGTTTTTAACCGTTTTCTTGTAGGATCAGGCATTACTGCAACATGTGCTTGAAGAACTAATATCTATGACAGAAATGCATCCGAAAAATTATGCAAATATTGATGCCGAAAATTATTACCGACTTGTGATGATTGTGAGAGGGATGGCCGTCACTCGTCCTCAAAACTTGGTCAAATTCTCAGATTCGCAAACCTCTATACAGGATGTAGTTTTGGATGATCCTCTTGGTAAGATTATGAAAATTACTTGACGCTTCAATCAACTTTTCATTTAAGATGTAAAAATAAAAACCAGCAAAAACCAACATCTTTTGCTGCAATTAATGGATGTTCTTTGGATATTGCACTCCCACAATCCTGAGAATACTACTTTAGCCCCAGTTGTTGTGCCCGGTCTTAAACACACAGAACAAATAGTGCATGCTTTAGTCGAGATTGTCCATGCTTTTAATAGCTGTGATGCATATAGCAATGTAACAATTGCTGTTTACCTACAATTGCTTTTGTGCAAAGATCTCGTGATTGCGTTTAGTGCCAAGCAAGCTTTAAATCGCGTTTTGAAACCAAAGTGTAGACGCCGCCGTGTGTTTATTCCGAGCCCCCCGCATTGCGGAACACCAGGAAGTATGTAATTAGTTCATGTATTGCCGTTCTCTTAAGGCTCACTTTTAGAAACCAGTATAGAATCTGAAGATGATAAACCACCAAGAACGACTCCTCAATCAAGTCAAGAAGACGATGCTCAATCTAGAGATGTAACATACGATGTTGATACAGTGGAATCTATTTCAGTACTCCAACAGCCAGTACTTCCAATTGATAATCATAATATTAATCCTCTTGAAGCATTGCTCGGAGGAGCTGCCGGTTATCCCCCATTACTTGATATTCCACCTGATGCTGATGATGAAACTATGGTTGAGCTGGCGATTGCATTAAGTTTACAAGACCATGAGCTAGGTGGAGGTATGCAACAAGTGCAACAAGGACTGCATAGTTTACAAGTTAGTATTACCTGATCTTCAAGACTGACTCTTTTAAAATTAATATCATCATATTAATATAATCTTCATTAAGTTTCTATCACACTTGGTATCTGGGGAAACAAATAAGTAAATTCCATTTCATGGTTTCAGTGTAATTTTGGATTATGTTTTGTGACACCAAATCTTGCAGTCTGTAAAGAAATTCTTTGCTGAATTATTACAGGTCACCGCTGGGCAAGCCCCAGAAGGAGGTCATTACAGTGATACCACTGTTTCAGCTGGTGGGTCAGACGACGAGGGCAGTACAGCTGCAACGGATGGGTCAACTCTAAGAACTTCGCCTGCTGAACAGGTTAAGAGTATAGTATTTAATTACACTACCAGAGATAAAAGAATAAACAAATTTAGAATTTGTATTTACACAATAGTAAAGAGTATCGAATATAAAGAAAATCAGTGCTATGTGTGCTTTTTATATTTTGAAACCAACAATATCAAAGTTTTAAGGTAACTGCAGATTTTTACAGCCGATTTTGCATTATGTTTCTAGCATCAAAGTATCCTTAACTGAGTTAAATTATTGCTGCAAGTTATACACTATTTGTGCGTTCGGTGGAACAAAATGGCCAGTATGTATCACAAATCAGTCAATTTCGTCATGTATATACAATGTGTTTTTTTTGCCATTCTGCCATTGCAAATAGAGTATTAAATTAAATTTGACGCACTTCGCTATCTGTATAGCCACAAAAGGATCTGCAGAACCCTATAGTTCGATGGACTAGCAATGCTCTGGCAGTTGAATTTCAAAATATGAACACATTTATATAGTATGGAATATCTTTGTATTATTTTATACTCTTTGATAATGGGTTGAATTGATGTGCTCAGGATGTAGCATGTAGCAATAGTTCACTAGACAAATACAGACTTGTAATGGTAGAAGCATTTGTAGTATTATTATTTGTCATAGGAAATTGAGAGGAACGCATCAAATTCTGACTGAAAAAACCAAATTTCCATTTTATCTCAGCATTTACCTGTCCGGAAAATTATAGACAGAGGTACGATCACTGACAAAAATAATGATAATCGGGAACTTACTGCCACTTAGGCAATCAACCATACACTATTAAAAATGGCAACATTGAATTGTAAGTTTTGACTCGTGTGAGATGGGACGCCGCATTGCGGTTTTGCTTCGTCACTGCCTTGATATAAACGTATGTTTTTTCCTTCTTGTGTTTTGTGTCAAGCGCTCGGCGACGTAACATGAACTCCAAAAACAAGATTAGGTATGTTATATTATTATTATTATTATTATTTATTAAAAACTGTACATTTTCCAACTACTTACAGATACCTTTGCCTACATACATAGAAACCAAAATTTGTTGCATATTTGATTATCCTATATAAATCAGTTTTTTAATCGCGTTTTATAATTTTTTAAATATCGCGGAACCACATTGTTTTTTGTGTAAACTATATATTGTTTGTATACAGGGTGACAATTTGAAAACTTGCCACCCCGCATATCTTAGTAAATAAACGAGATATTTAAAAAAATCAAAATCCGTTTCGGTAATTCGGAGGGGGAATCACAATGACATAGTTGGCGACGCACCCCCTCCAACCCCCTGCGCCCCAGCCACCCCAACTTTTAAATCTTAAATAGTGACCCCCCATGTGTGATACGTCGTTGGAAAGCTCTGAAAAAATGCTTTCCAACCATACCAAATAGCATTACATTTAGGTTAGTAATTATCGTGCAAATCAAAAAATAAACATGGAAAATCGTATTTAACTTGAACTTCCAAAGCCGACTCGATAGCAACTCATTTTCGATCGCCAGTTATAATCTATCCTCAAACTCTTGTCGAACCTTTTCAAATGTTGGTTTTGCAATATTTCGACATTCTTGAATTATTCTCTGTCTTAGTTCGTCTATGTTCGCCGGTTGCGTTTTAAATACGACAGATTTCAAATGTATCATATTAGTTTATTTTTTGATTTGCACGATAATTACTAACCTAAATGTAATGCTATTTGGTATGGTTGGAAAGCATTTTTTCAGAGCTTTCCAACGACGTATCACACATGGGGGGTCACTATTTAAGATTTAAAAGTTGGGGTGGCAGGGGGGTGGAGGGGGTGCGTCGCCAACTATGTCATTGTGATTCCCCCTGCGAATTACCGAAACGGATTTTGATTTTTTTAAATATCTCGTTTATTTACTAAGATATGGGGGGTGGTAAGTTTTCAAATTGTCACCCTGTATAGTACTTATAGCTAACACTATCAAAAAGTTTGCTAAATTAATTTCTGGATTGTTGTTTCTGTTTTTGAAAAGTCTATACATATCACTTGGCATTGCTGATTGTCTATTTAATAATTTGCACACTAGTATTTTGACTTGTTTCCACAGTTCATCTGTTAAATTACACTCTACTATTAAGTGCCATGCTGTACCATCCTCGTTGCACCATAAACAGTTTTTATCTGTAGTTACACCAATTTTGTTAAGAAAAATCATGTCGGCCAATCTGTTTTTTGCGAAACGCCATGAGGTGACAGCATCGATTCCGAGTGATGGATTTTTAAACATTTCACTCCAACATATTTCCTTTTCGTCCCAATTCCCTTTTAAGTTTTTCGGTTTTCCCAGATCCTTCATTCAATTGCATTTCGTACAACAGTCTTCTCGTCTTGGAATTGAGAGTTATCTTTTTTCCTGTTTCTCTCTCGAAATATATTTCTGGGGGCCATTTTCCTGCACCGACTACGCCTACGACATCCGGGAAAGTTACTCCAACTAATTCTTTAAGATCATACATTGAGAACATGTTCTGCTTTACCCTGGGTGTAACTTACCTTTTTAACAATTCCTCCTTCACCTTCCATTTGGTTCCTGTTGTACAGTCTCCGATGTTATTTAGTCCACACTTGTACCATATATGTCATTATTAATTAAATTTTTCGCTGTTTGTGGCCACAATTGGCAGTCGCACAGGGGTAGCATGTTAAGATCGTGTTGACACGACGGAAAATTTTTTAACATTAAAGGGACTGTGTTCCAAGATTTTATTAGGCTTTTTGTGTATACGGATGTCCCTGAGTTACTTGGTTTACAATAGAGGTATTGCCACGACAGGTCACTATTGTTGCTTTTTATGAAATTATAGTCGATCATTTTCGTCCAGTGTGCTCCGTAGGAGTTGAAATATTTCAGTACCGTGAAGACTCGAAACATATTGACTTTGGTTCTTATATTTACCATCCCCATTCCGCCTTGCCAAATTGGTAGTGTGAGGGTCTTTTTGTCGGTCCAATGTTTCCTGTTTCGCCATGCGAAGTCTATGAGCATGTTTTGGATCTCTTCTAGTGCTTGATCTTTTATTGCTAGTATTTGTAACGTATGCCACATTTTGGGTGCTATGAAAGCATTTACTATTCTTATACGACCTCTCAAAGATAGTGCACTAGCTCGGAATTTCCATTTATCCAACGCATTGCGAACTTTCTGTTTCAAATCTTCTTCGGTTATTGTGTTGGATCCTGTTTCTTTAGGACTGAGAGTTACACCTAACACTTTTAAGGAATGAGATGTCCAGGTACATTCCAGCGGAGTATCCTTTCTGTGTTCCCATTTGCCGCACCACAAACCTTTGGATTTAGAAAAATTTATTTTCGCACCGGATTCTCTTGTAAATATTTCTAAACAGTGACCAACTGTTTCGAAGTCTTTGTTCTCCGTTATGAATATGGAAATATCATCTGCGTATGCGGCTATGGTAACCTTCTCTTGTCTCGCGGGTGGTAGCAGGAATCCTCCTATTTTATTTCTGATTAGCCCTAACAAAGGTTCCAGTGCCAACGAGAATAATGGTCCAGATAAGGGACACCCTTGTCGTATCCCTTTCTCTACCTTAATTGGACTTGTTAAAAGATGACGAACTCGAACGAATGATTTTGCCTCCGTGTATAATTCGATTATTACATTTTTAAAATGCGCAGGGAAATTAGTTTTGTCGAGAACATGAAATAAATATCTATGGTAAATGTTGTCAAACGCGCTTTCTAAGTCTAAGGATATTATTGCCAGTTGTTTCTTTTCTGTGTCGGTGTAATTTAAGATGTCTCTGTGCAAGTGGAGGCTGTCATATATAGATCGTCCTGGAATACTGTAAGATTGATCGGTTTGCACGACTGATCCTACTACTTTCATCAATCTTTGGGCTATAGTCTTTGCAAGGATTTTATAATCAGTTGTAAGTAACGATATAGGTCTCCAATTTTTAGATCAAAGGGGTTCTTATCTTTCTTTAGTATTAGCGTAGTAACTGCTGTTTTAATGACTTGTGGAATTTTTTGTGCACCATTTATACTACTTGAGACTGCTTCGTAATAATATTGCCCTATTTTTTCCCAAAACTGTAGATAAAATTCGACGGTTAAACCATCTATTCCAGGAGATTTTTTTTTGTTTAAACTTTTCAACGCATTGGTAAGTTCTTCTAGTATGTTATAGCACAGATGTACACATACAACAGATTGGTAACCGTATGCATTTTATGGGTAACACATTTAGGTATACTTAAAAGCGCCCTCTATTGAGCAGCAGTATAAACGTGTCACCGTTCCGTCAACGAAACGTCTAATATCCTCACATTGAAAGCTACAGACATATTCAGACATATCCGGACCGTCAAGGTTTGTCAATGAGAATATTTTACGTTACCGGTACGGTGCTATTTGTAATTGGTAATAATTCCTCCGTTAACAGTGAATTTATTGTGGGATTTGTTTCAGACTAGTTAATTTATTGTTTGCACGCCTTTTGTTTTTAAGTTTCCTATGAAGTACCTACTATATTGACGATTTTTGTGTCTTACTTACCTACTGTAATAATCTTTGAGGTAGGTAAGTGCCTATAGTAACATTTCTGCTTGCATGCAATAAGCTCATCTACTCATTCTCATTGATCCAAGAGAAGCGCACCGCAGATATGTGTAATGGCATATTTACTTAACTGCAGTGCAGGCGTCTTAATAGTCAGGTGCTATCCAAATCTATCTTCCGCTCCACCAAGCGATTGTGCAAAAATAATGTCTTCAAACTAAAAACGGTTTTTCCGTTACTTGACGTTTGGCGTTTTCCGTATCTGCTGTTCAATAGAGGGCGCTTTTAAGTATACCTAAATGTGTTACTCATAAAATGCATAAGGTTAGCAATTTGTGGTTATCATAAAGAGAGTGTACTATATTAATAATAATTAATTAATAAAAAAAATTGAAAGTTTTCAAACTGTAAACAGTGAACTTGAGTATTTGCATATTTGTCAAAATAAAGTAGGCAGTTCTGCGCCTCAACCAAGTTTAAAAATTTACTTCCTATGTTGATATTTGATGGATACTGGTCAACTTTTTGAATTTCAAATAAAACCAACAAATGTTTCATTGCAATTTTTTGGCTCTTTAGCATTAAAAGGAATTAGTACCTAAATTTTCAATGAATATTGTACTTACGTCGCACACCTTCTCTTTACTGTAATATAAGGTTGTAACATTTAAGAGCAGTCTGTAGTTTAACATATTTCAAGTTATGTATAGAATTTGGTGCATTACTCACAATGTGTGTCAAGCACTGCTTTTAGTTATAATTTGGTAAATACAAAAATGTGCGCTAGATATCCGCTTGCCTCTTGTTAAAAATTAGTGTATTTCAGGGTGGTAGTGCCGGTTCTGAGAGTGGTGGAAGTGGTGTAGATAGTATTACAGGAGAACATAATGTGTCAGGACGTAGTTCTGCTTATGGAGATAATATACAAGAAGCAATTACTTTAGTATCACGTTCTGATACTAGCTCATTAGCCAATGCCAACTTTCAGGTTAATTTCTAACTGCGCCTAACTTGAAGTCATTTCTTTCCTGTTACAGATGACGGAAACAGGTCAACTTCCTCAAGAGGTAGATCCGGAGCAGGATTCTGAAAGTAACAGTCGTTTGCATGTGTTACGTCTACAACTGTTGGAACGATTGATTGAATATCTGCCCAAGTTACGTAACGTTGATGGCGTAAGGGCAATTCCCTTTTTACAAGTAGGTTAAACACAAATGAATGGGTATCACTTTAACTGGTGGCTCCTGTGTAGGTAGTTCTTCAACTTACCACAGACCTAGATGGACAAGTGGAGCGTGACAGAAATTGTTTAAATGGTTTGTTAACAGCATTTATAGTGGAACTAGAAGTTAATAAACCAATGAAGGAAGATGTTTCGAAACGAACGACTCAAAGAGAAGTTCAACTCATTATTATGAGACTTTTGAGTGAGTTGAATATTTGAAAACGTCTTATATTAATAGCAACACTTTCAGGTGTATTAATGTCAAGGTGTAAAACGTCATCTTCAAAAATCAGTCCTCTGGACAATTCTCTATTTGTATCACAAACAACTGCTACGTTTTTGCACAAAGCAGACATTATAGCTTACTGTCTAAAACTGTTGCAGTCACTTTTGGAATATTGGAAAACAAACGAGATTGAGGAAGGATCTCATAATATCGGAAGTAACTTGTTAAAGGAACACTTACCCCATTCCCCACCGGATATGACGCCATTTTTCTTGAAACAATTTGTGAAAGGTGGAGTTAGCTCTTTGTATTTGAAAATTAATTACTTTTTTATAGGGCATGCTACAGATATATTTCAAACGTATCCTCAGTTATTAACAGAAATGGCATTGCGACTTCCGTATCAAGTACACAAACATTCAGAATCGGTATCTGTTGCATTTGATAAGGAATGGTATAGGCATTTGTGTGAATACATGATGACGTCACTCGCACCATTTGTAAGAAGACAAGTTAGAAAACTGTTGTTATTTATATGTGGAAATAAGGATGAGTACAGGCAGTTACGAGATGTTCATGCTTTAAGTACACACATGAAGGTAAACTCGACCAGTAGTGTACTTGGTAAATTATGTCTTTGTTTAAGGCGGTCATAGTTGCTTGTACTAAAGCGGGTTACACCTCAAATGTAGATTCACAGCTCGCATTATCTATGTCGTACGATAATTTGGTAGAATTAGTAGAACATTTGAAAGCCTGTTTGGAAATTGCGGTAGCTCGAACTGGTAACTGGCAGAGGTACTGCGATGATCACGAGGAAACTCTTCCATTTCTCCTACAAGTCAGCTGTTTATTAGATGAAGGTAGTGTATGCTTGTTATATTTCTTAGAAATTAATGATTTTTCAGGTGTTGCACCAACCATTTTACATTTAATGCAGTGTGCTATAGTAACCAATAGTAATAGCGATAAAAAGTCGGACAATGCAAGCAAGTCGAGCACATCTCGTAAAGATAGAGAAAAATCTGACGATTCTTTAACAGATGCCTTATTTGACAAACGGAAATGTGTTAAATTGGTGGATCAAATTAATAAACAAGTACCTACAAGTGTGCTAACCTACTTTATCAAGACGTTTTTGCTGGAAACTAACATTACCAATGTTAGATGGCAGGCACATGCTTTAACCTTAGCCATATACAAGTGAGTACTTATCTTCTAATTGTTTTTAAAGGTTTGGCGAATTTATGCGTAACTTTTATTTTTTTTATTCACTATGCCTATACAATAATAAATTGATAATCCGAACAGAAAGTTTGCAGAACCCGTTTGGATAACGCATGTTTCCAGATTATAGAATTTATAATAAATGATATCAAGCATGCCTTGGTGGAAGGCCTAGGGTAAATACGGCGCATGTCACGTGTTAAGAAAGGAACAAAGTTCGGATTACGAATACGGGATACGAGAGTTCTGATTATGAATATAACAATTTGGCTACAGAGTATTTCAGATTAGAGGGAGATTAGATTATTCGTACCTTACTGATTACTGATTTAAATCATTTGTGAGTGCTTCTAAACAACATAGAATATCCATTGACAGCATAATGACAACCTGTTAAATAATGTTTGTTGTTCCACTCTTGAAGTAATTGATATAGTTTTGTTATTAATTGAAGAAATGAAGGGGTGAATAAAAAACAGTTTTTACCCTTGTGCTGTGGCATTTTAAATTTGAACTCCAATCTCAAAAACCATAAAGTAGTACATCCGATTTTTATTTCCGGTCATTTTGTAATCAAACTTAGATGAAATTAAATTAATGAAATTGTGAACTATGCACTAGGGAAGTTAAATGATACTATCATAGGATTAGTTTTCAAGATAGATCCGTTTAAAAATTGACCAATTTAACATGGGCTCTTATGGAGAAACGTCACAGGCACAAACATCGCGACAAAATATTATATTCCCATCATTTGGGGATGAGCCTGCCCTCCAAAGATTCCGTGTTTCATTAGGAATCCAATGATAGAAGGCAATGTACTTGTCATTGAATAGCTTTCTAGATATCTTTAATTATCTGCGTCAAAACGCACGAGAAACAGACAAAATCGCAAGCAATGCAATACTTTTATTGGCAATTATTAGGAACGAAGGTGATATATTTTGTTACTAATATTATTTTACACCATTGCTTATTGTGATTTATACATAACAGAAAAAAAACCAATATTTAGGTACCGTCATTTCGCTTGTCATGTTTGTGGCAGGTCCAAAAGTGGTCAAGTTCATTGTAACGAGTTAATTTTTTTAGGAACTCAAAGTTACCAGAACAAGAAACTGTGTTAAAATTGTTATGGCATCTCTGGCCTTTACTTCCTTCTTATGGCCGAAAAGCTGCTCAGTTTGTAGATCTTTTGGGATACTTCTCACTAAACTATACCAGAAATTCCGAATCAGGAATTCAGGTAAATCTTTTCACTGGTAATGGATATAGTTTATTAAATGTCATTTTTTAGCATATTGAAGAATACGTGAACAAAGCTGTTGATGTTTTGCAAGTACAAAACCAACTATTGGCTTATCATCCGAATGCCAATTTGTATGCTCATATGGGCCAATTTGTGGAACTGGATGGTTATTATTTGGAATCGGAACCTTGTTTAGTTTGTAACAATCCTGAAATTCCATTATCAGCTATTAAACTCAGTTCTATAAAGGTAATTTTTATGATTTGTGCATTGGTCTCTGTGAGGCTGCTCCAAGCACGCAGAGTAGCTGTCTCGTGTTCGCTCTATACAGGCTGATTCAAATTCGAGGACCACCATAGGGATCTCGAAAACTGTAGGTAGTTTATATTTGTCGAAGTTGTGTATTTTGATGCTTAACAAAATAGCGTTTTGAAACTGAAAAAATTCTTACTACTTCTTACTATTCTTACTACAGTCTCCTCATACAATCTCATTGAAACTGTTTGTGGAATTGAAACAGAGACAGGCCGACCTGGGGCCTATTTCATAAAGCTACTTTGCAACTTTTCACTTGTCACTTTGCAATTTTTAGATAATATTTTGGTCCATAAAACTATTTTGGCACATGATAGCACACAAAATATATACAGTAGAGATGAAGAACACACGAATTGTAACGTTGACTAAAGTATTTTATGAAACAGATAATATAATAATCTTTGCACTTCAAGATTATGCAATTGCAAAGTGAGAAGTGAAAAGTTGCAAAGTGGCTTTATAAAATAGACCCCAGGTCATTGATCATCTTCGGTGCTCTCTCAACCTTCATAAAATGGTTTATACCACTCGAAAACACACACGAGATACAGAACTCTCACCATAGGCCTTTTTTAACAGCTTATAGCACTCAGTCGGAGTTTTTTTTTTTATTTAACGAGAAATTTGATATTGATGCCTTGCTCAGGTTTTTCGCCAGACAATTGCCCATATGAATAAAAGGGAGCATATGCTTATACTTGCAAAATTCAAACGAAACACTCGTCAGTGCCCCTTCACACTGGGCTGCTCAACAGCTCTGCACTGCGTCCCGTCCCATGGCTAACCAGCTTTGCTAAGTCGCCCAGTGTGAGGGGGCACTTACGAGTATTTACTTTGAATTTTGCAGGTATAAGCATTTGGCTCACTTTTATTCATATGGGCCATTGTTATCGGCACGCGAAAAAAACACGTTCGTTTCTAACCTATATAGGAAAAATACTACTACAGCCAGCAAAACGTGTTTTCATACTATTTAGTAGACACTTTCGCCTAGCATTTGTTCCCCCACCCCTCAACGTCTTCTATGAGCGCAGTCTCGTTATTTAATAGCCATATCTCGTACTTTCGGAGATATCGTAAAAAAAACGAAATTTTGCCAAATCGTTTTAATTTTTTACCAAAGTTAAATAAATGACACATTTTTATGGCCACTTTTTTCCCCTCTACAAGAAGTTAGTTTTAAATTTTAAGTCTGACGTTTCGTTATCGGTTTACCATCATCAACTTTGTTTTTTCTTACGAAAGTCATTTTAATTTTTTGTGTTATTTGATAGAGCATTTTTTTTTATTTCAAAAATTTAAGTACATATTTGGATTTTGTTCAGTTTCAAAACGGCATTTTGTTAAGCATCCAAATAAGCAACTTTGCCAAATTTAAACTACCTACCCTTACAGTTTCCGAGATCCCCATGGGGGCCCTCGAATTTAAATCAGCTTGTATAGTTGGAGCAAGCTCCGTGAAACCAATGACCTACATTATGTATTTAGAACTTGGACAACAAGGGTTTACCAATAGGGACGATAGGATTTTAAACGTTTAAGGCGGCTATGTTGGATGCCAAACATTTGACATATGCTGTCAGTTGTCATCAGTAAGGATTGCCATTTCATCATGAACAAGTTCACGTTGCCTCAACGCTTGGAAATTATCCAACAACATGCCACACAGCGAACGCTACAATGGACTTATTGCGTCAACAGTTTGGTGAATCGTTGATTTCTCAAAATGGCCCCCACAATTGGCCGCCAAGATCATGCGATTTAACACCATTGGACTTCTTTTTGTGGGGCTATGTGAAGTCAAAGGTTTATGCGAATAAACCCAAGACTCTTGACGAGCTCGAGGCCAACATTCGAGCGACCATAGCTGCCATTCCACCCGATATGATCCACCGAGTCATCGAAAATTGGTCCGATCGGATGAGCCAGTGCAAAAAGAGCCGCGGTGGCCATTTGAACGATATTTTGTTTAAATCATAAATGGCATGAAATACAGCATCTAATAAAACCAATCAAACCTAAATTTGACCAAATTGACTGTGTTTTATTTCAATTTAAAATCCTATCGCTCTTATTGGTAAACCCGTTACTTTGAATGAATGAAATATTGAAATGTGCCGGCATAAATTGTGAATGTAAGGTGCTGTTGCAGGTGGATTCGAAATTCACCACTACCACACAAATAGTGAAACTATTAAGTAGTCACACTATTAGCAAAATAACGGTGAGAATAGGAGATTTAAAAAGAACAAAAATGGTACGAACTATTAATATTTATTACAACAATCGAAGTGTGCAGGCTGTTGTTGAATTAAAAAATAAACCAGGTAAAGGAAAAACGTGAAACTGTTGTGCTTTTCATGCAACCATTCTTTTAGCTCTGTGGCATAAAGCCAAGAAGGTAACTCTTCTCAGTGGTCAAACTGAGTTAAAAATCGACTTCCCCTTACCCATTGTGGCATGTAACTTGATGATGGAATATGCAGATTTCTATGAAAATATTCAAGCGAATAGCGAAACTTTACAGTGTCCAAGGTGTAGTGCCGCTGTACCAGCAAATCCTGGTGTATGTGCCAATTGTGGCGAAAATGTTTATCAATGTCATAAGTGCAGGTGAGATTTACTAGAGCTTTTATTTCGTACGCTAGTTACGGTGATTTCTTTTAGGGCTATAAATTATGATGAAAAAGATCCTTTCCTATGTCATGCCTGCGGATTTTGCAAATATGCAAAGTTTGATTTTACTTTGTTGGCCAAAGCTTGTTGTGCAGTAGAAACCATCGAAACTGATGAGGATCGTAAAAAAATGGTTTCAAGCATTAACAATCTTCTGGAGAAAGCTGATCGAGTTTATAAACAGCTGATGGCCAATAAACCAACTTTAGAGGTATGTAATTTTATAGTCCATCGATGGTTTGGTTTTAAACTGACAGAAATAAGTATCAAAGTTACGAATAATAATAATAATAATAGTTTAATGCCCAACAGAAAACAAATTCCAATTACAGTACTTTAACACAGATAATAAAGGCGATACAAATAAATATTACTAAAACTTGGTATAAAAAATTAATGGACAACTAAAATAATCAAAAAACCAAACAACTATAGTAAAAATAGTAATTAAACATTAATCCCCGTTAATAAACAATGTAGTGTTGAATTAAATATGTCCATAGTTTTACAAAGTTTATTGTAGGTTTTACACGAACTTAAAATTGGCGACATAATTATATAAAACAATAACATGCGTGGTATCCTATTTTGAACACTTACATGTTTTACTATTCTTTGTAGTCTTTGGTACTCAAGATTTTCGAACATCGCACAGACCACAAACAAGAGGAACCAAATGCCAACAATATTTCAAATGCATCAACAGCTGTCGCACCTATATCAGCAACAGGAACTCAAGTGAAGGTGAACATTGTTAAGTTGACGCAAATACTCTAATCGTTATTTCTTTTAGGTAAACAAAACAATTCAAATGTTGGCGCAACAGTATTGCAATGAATGTAAGACGTCATTTGAGGAATTAAGTAAGATTATCCAAAAGGTATTAGTGTCTCGAAAGGAGCTTGTTTCTTACGATCGGAAACATAGGGATACAGAAATTAGGAGTGGATCCATTTTTAATGTACAGGCGCTGGTATGTATACATATTTTTTTATTACATTGAAAAATTGTCGTTTTTAGCCTAGTTGTAGTAAAGCAGCAAGTAGTACAAGCACAATTACAAACACAAGCAATAAATGCTATGGATGTTCTACATCCGCTACAGAACACTGCTTGACATTGTTGCGAGCTTTAGCAATAAATTCTGGAACACGTCAGGTTCTGTGTTCAAAAGGATTAATTCAAGAACTGGTGCGAAATAATTTGAGAAAAGGCAATTTACAGGTAAGGAACACAACTATTGAGATCATTTTTATGTAAAAATGCACTGTTGGTGTCTATAATAATAAACTAAACAAATATAGAAAACGAGCTCCTGGGTATGGCTATAGCATGTGCAAAACCAAATTTTAAACCTGATGTTAATGTTAGTTTTGCTTTTATTTAAAGTGTATGTGTATGAAATTTCATTTAATTGCTTCCATAAATAAGAAAGTTGGCACTACACATCCCACACAAAACCAAATTTGGAAAATGGCGCTACATTTGCTTTTATTTCAAGTGGCTATGTATCAAATTTAATTTGAATGCCTCCATAAATAATAAAGTTGTCACTGCGCATGCGCAAAACGAAATTTTGACACTGGCGTTATATTTGCTTTTATTCCAAGTGGTTATGTATCAAATTTCATTTAAATGCTTCCATAAATAAGAAAGTTGGCACTGCGCATGGGCAAAACCAAATTTTTACACTTGCGTTAAATTTGCTTTTATTCCAAGTTTGCAATTCGGTTTATAAATGGTCGAGATGCGAAAAGGGCACTGTGAATTTTGAATCGATTCGATTCAAATTTTGGCATTGCGTATTATATGGCTAAAGCTATACGCATATTGAATTTCATGCAATCGAGATATCGTGCTAACGGACGGACAGACACTGCAAAATTATAAACTCGCTAGGGGCTCGTTAATAAAGATATTCTTATAATTAAAGAAAAAATTTAAAAAAGAAACACAGTCAAGTCATTGGCAGTGCCTACCATTAGCCTGTAAAAAAATCAGTTTCATTCATCCAACCGTTGCCTAGTTATATCCATAGAAAGTTACAGTATTGCAAACATCCTGTAGAATAATGTCACATTTTTGAAAAATCCTAAAATGTAAGTGTGCCCTAATCGCTTACAAAAAATTTAGTTTATCACATGTCTTTTTTATAGTGTGACATCGAAGTTGGCTTAGCAAAATTGAGATTTTGAACCCACCAAGTTTTTACGAACCGAGCTACGCATCTATTGTCAAAAAGTGTTTCTGTGTTCACAATGAGCTCATCACTAAAAATACTTAAAAACTAGAATTCTCGCAGACATCTACAAACTAGACTAGTTAAATGCATTTTGGTTTAAAATATTGATCTTTTAAAACCATAGAAGTAGTCAGTATGTGTAAGCTCAAATGGGTTTGATAGTCGAATTTCGGCATCATATGATCCATAAGTGAATGTCTTTAAATGCAACAACAAATTAAATCTTAGAACTTAGCAATGGCGTCTCATTCTCTTAAGATCCTGTTTTCGTTTGGTGCGGAACATCTGGCATGAACTATGCTTTTAAATACCCTCAGAAAAGAAATCCTACGGGAAAAAGTACGGGAGGTGAGCTTGCAGATTTTATTTGTACTCAATAGTAAACGTTGATCAACAAGACAAAACGCAAATGAGCAAACGTCATGTTTAAACACTACTGACAGCTGACCCGTAAAAATTCTACAAGTTATGGCTGTTTGCACCGACAAATTGAAGCGGAGCTTAGCTTAAGGGGAGCTTAAAATCCATGGTAACAATTATTGTGACAATGGTTGCCATCGATTTTAATCTGCGCTTAAACTAAGCTCAAAAGCTTAACGTTGTCGGTGCAAAGGGCCATTAGTTAATTAGTAATTTTATTGGCCAGAATGAATGCGAAGTCTTTGTTAACATGGATAACGTGATATTTTCGACAACTATATACTCATATTTCCATTTACTATTGTTTACCATTGGGTAACAAATAAAATATTGTACATTATACCCCAGGAGATGACAGGCTCGCCAGTCAACTTCTCGTATCGCCAGTAAAAACTCTCTTACCTGGCCAATAATGCAAAATACTATGCTCATAATGTGGTAGAAACCTTTAGATATGTGTGTGAAGTTGAATTATATTTTTGATGTCTATTAAAACTGGAACTCCACAAGAGTGCATACTTACTATTCCCAATATAATTAATATCTAGGTGGTGGTTTATATACTATATCATATATTCTATCTTTAAGACACAAGAGGAAGTACGCCAGTTGCTGTGCCTTCTGACCAGGGACAACCTATCGTCAACTGAACAATTATGTAATATTCTTATGGAACGCATTGCCTTAAACCTAAACGGACATACGAACAGTTCAGAAATTGGAACAGGAGTGCGATATGAAATTCAGTTATTAGCGGCTATGGTTCAAAAGGAAGACGATTGCTGGGAGCTCAAACTGCGGTGTTTACTGAAATTGTTTCTGAAAGCCTGTCGGGATTCTAAAAATCCGTTAATAATGGAATCTATTATTTTGCCTTGTCTTAAAATCTTGCAAGGTCTGTTGAAAAGCTCGGACAGCAGTAAAAAGGTTAAGGTACGAGATTTTTACATTATTCCAAAGCTATATTGAAGTAATTGTAGGAGAAAACCAACTTAAACATCAGCACTTTCAAAACTACTGACAATGTGTCGATCGATGTATATAAATGGTTGAGCAAGGATCCCGAACATACCTTTGCAAATTGGCGAGCGAGTTTACCGCAGAAAACCATTGATAGTAGTGAAAATCCCCCAAAGAGCTCCTCGGAAGTACATCAATATTATTTAGCAGAAAAATATTTTCTCATTTGGAGAACTAAGATGCCTTCGTTTAGAGGATGTGTTTTAGAATTAGATGATTCATCATGGCTAAAAACTGTTCTGTTTAATCCAAGCTCTCGTTTAGCTCGTCAAGTAGCTTGCAATATTATAGAAATTATGTGCACAAGCATCGATAGGAAAAAAGAGGTATTTTTGAGTTGGTGTTAAGTATATAAGTAACTTTGCGTTTTAGATTTTGGTTCTGTTGACGTGCTTTTTGGAGGAGTTGGCTTATGCCGGGGAAAGTTCAGCGGAGTTCTTATCGCTTTATCAAAACTTAATCCAGGAAAGTCCATGGAAGCAATACTTAACATTGAAGGGCGTTCTAAACGTCTTGGCAGAGTTGGTAACGCAGGAAATTCAGCAACTGCATTATTTGGAAGACACCACTTTAACTTCCAATTTGGCTCAAGGTTTTGCTTTGAACCAGTTGACAGAGCTGCTTTCTTCTTTTCTCGATAACGCTGCAATCAGACGGCAGTACAAAAGTCGCTTAGTTGGTGCGGTTCTTAATGGATATTTGTCCCTTCGAAGGCTAGTAGTGCAACGTACTCGCCTAATCGACGACACTCAGGAGAAATTGTTAGAATTACTTGAAGACATGACAACAGGTACTGAGGAAGAAACAAAAGCGTTTATGGCAATTTGCATCGATACCGTGGAGAAGTGCAGTTTACTCGATGTTCTTACTCCCGTTTTCATATTCGAAAGGCTGTGTTCAATCATTTACCCAGAAGAAAACGATGTTGGGGAGTTCTTTTTAACATTGGAAAAAGATCCGCAGCAAGAGGATTTCTTACAAGGCCGTATGCTCGGTAACCCGTACTCTAGTCTAGAAGCAGGGTTGGGACCGCTAATGCGAGATGTAAAAAATAAAATTTGCCAAGACTGCGAGTTAGTAGCTTTATTGGAGGACGATAACGGTATGGAGTTGCTGGTGAATAATAAGATTATGAGCCTTGATCTACCAGTGAAAGATGTATATAAAAAGGTAATTCGGTTTTAAAATTATACCACAGATGTAGGTATAGTACAGATAGCTTATTTAAGTGCGTCTATAGCAAAATCAATAGTCCAGTCAAATTACGGTTTGGGCTGGATGGTGCCATTTCACTCGACGAAACCAAGTGTATTCTATGTAAAAAAATTCGCTAAATCCGAAAATCATAGTTTCACTGGCTACAAAAGTCAATTTACTATTTTCGTGAGCTATCTGTGGTACATTTATATTTGTGATTGTACTAATGTAACGAGTATATGTAATGAGAAGTAACAAATATATGTTCAGGTTTGGTTGGCGGAGGGAGGAGAAATTGATTCGATGAGAGTAATTTATCGCATGCGAGGTTTACTTGGGGATGCTACAGAAGAATTTGTAGAGACGCTTAATAACAAATCACAAAGCACCGTAGACAATGAGGAAGTCTATAAAATGGCAAACGTGCTGGCCGATTGCGGTGGACTTAAAATAATGGTGGTGCGCTTGGGCGCGATACAAAACATTTGGCGAGCGCGCCCTCTACTGCAAGTGTTGTTGAAACTATTTAGGTTAAGCGTTAAGGTGCATAGGGTGCAGGAAGTGTTAATTCAACCAGAGATACGGTCAATGGAAGTGTTTTTAAGAACTTTGCAACTGTGTTTAGATAGTGAACCAGATGGTAACCAAGCCGCTGTTACTGAACAACTTTTAGATGTAAGTTTTTATTGTTTTCCCATTAAATGCTTAATCGTTGCGTATTAGATTATGGAAACTATACTCTCAAAGGCGACTAGTCAATCCATCGAATCATTTGACAGATTCTCTCAAACCTTTGGTGGGCCAGAGTATGTGAAATCATTACTAACCTGCACAAATCAATCAAGTGTAAAAAATAATCAATCAGTTTTGATTCATTTAACGAGAGTTTTGGCGGCATTAGTATATGGAAATAAAGAAAAAATGGAAATTCTTCTAGATCATTTTAAATCAGTCTTAGATTTTAATAAGTACGATTTCGAACATACCGCTGATGATCAGCAAAAGTTAGAAATGTTTTGTGTTTTAATGGACGGAATCGAAAGGAATGATATTGGAAATACCCTAAAAGATTATATCGTGTCTTTGGGGATTGTAAAGGAGGCACTTGAATATATAACCATGCATGCTCCATGCGTCAAGCCAACCTTGCTACGTACGGATAGTGACGAACTAAAGGAATTTATTTCCAAACCTGCATTAAAGTACATTTTACGATTTTTAACTGGATTGACAGCCAACCACGAAAATACACAGGTAAAGATATAACAATTCGTAACGATAGTAACTCTAATTATGTTAATAGCTTACAATAGCTGCAGCAGACACAATTCCTATAATTCATCGTTTAGAGCAAGTCTCATCTGATGAACATGTTGGTTCGCTAGCGGAGAATCTACTGGAAGCTCTTCGCACAAATGCTACGGTAGCTTCTCAAATAGAAGATGCCCGAGAATTTACTCGATCTGAGAAAAAACGTCTTGCAATGGCAATGAGGGAAAAACAACTGGGACAGTTAGGGATGAGAACTAATGATAAAGGCCAGGTAACTGTCAAATTTTTTTATGCCACTTTTCCTCCTGGCGGGGAAAATGAAGGATCAAAACAATGAAAATGAAACACAATTTTGTAATTAATTGTTACTTTCAAATTTACATTCCGATTTTGGTACATTTTATATGGTTATTATACTGTTTTTAGCACAGTCTGTGGCTATGTATGTCAAAGTCTTGCGATCAAAATAAGAATAGTTCCATCTGGTGACACATTTCAAAAGCAATACATTAATTTTCACCCCTCCCCAAATCAGCTCAATTCAAACATAAAATTGTTCTTGGCACTGAATGTACAAAATTCTAATGCCAACGTCAGTAGACACACTGTAGATAGTACTGGCGAAGTGTTGCAATTTTGATAGCGGCGCCTATTTGAAACTATTAGCGTCATTTGCACGGACAAATTCCTTTAAGGGTTTTGGCGCCACTTCCGCAAATACCTGAAGTAGCCATCAACTTTATTATTTTAAATAGGGACCCCCTATTTCTTCTACATTTTCGGATTCTACGTCGAATTTGGAGCACAACGATACCCCATAGTTGACCCTTTGCTCCAAGGGCTTTGTCGATATTCAAGTTTTTATGTCAAAAATTGAATTTGCAGGGGTAATTTTAAAAATTTAGTATTCGAAAACGGTGAGAGTTTTCACTGCTATATTAAGGGAAGATCGAATTTTCTTATGGTATGCGTAACCGTCTAAAAAAGTGTGACTACATCACTTTTTCAAAGCTCTCAATTTTTAACTTTTTAAATATCCATAGCCCCATTTTTTCAAATGGCACCCCCAATTTTTTTCTTCACTGTTGTTTTCCTTTTTCCGAGACCTTTAATTTGACACAAAATGTCAAAGGCTGCTTCAAACAGTTTCCGAGATATTCCATGTTTTAATTACTTCTTGTAACAAATTCTGATAAAAGCTTCAAATTCTGCTAACAAAAAGTATCCATAAATGGTGCTAACGCAAATGGTCCATTTTCAATCGTTTAGCTAGGGAAAAGGGAAACAAAATTTGACATTTTCAGTTTTTCTGTGATATTTTCAAAGATTTTTCAAAAATTTCGTGCGTTTTTTGAGTCAGAAATGTGGGCACTTTTGCCCCAATTTAACCTACACTGTATCTCTCACCGTTACGGCGATCCCCACGAATTTGAACCACCCTGTACAGTGTACACGTTGTGTTGTCACAACATTCTCAGTTTATTAACTCAACTACGTTTTGGGTAACAATCTGCACCTTCGGGATTAAAACACACACTTTAGTTCCTTGGTATATAGCTCATGAAGGTCGTAATTTGACATCTCTCTCCCTTGCATTATGACGCTAAGTGCAAATTTGCATTCTTTTGTCGCCATAATTACGATAGCTCACCTTAAATCTTCAGTCCTGAATGAACATTTCTTGAGGAAAGGATATACAAGTGGAAAACATCGGTACTTAGTAACAGATTTTTAGTTTGGGCGGTTGTGTTTCTTTCTAAATTGGATTATCCATTTCTAATCTTACAGAACCAAAATTCATTTTTATGAATGCCTCCTTAGGTTACCGCAAAATCGTCAATATTACAACAAATGGAAGATCTTGGTGAAGAAACTGGTTTAGTCTGCTGCATTTGTCGTGAGGGATACAAGTATCAACCATCAAAAGTTTTGGGAATATACACATTCACGAAGCGTTGCAATGTCGATGATTACGATTGTAAATCACGAAAAACGATAGGTTACAACACAGTTACTCATTTTAATGTTGTCCATGTTGACTGTCATATGAGTGCCGTCAGGTAAGTTCACAATTTGGGGCGTTTGGATTGTACCATTTTTGAAAATGTAGACTAGCTCGAGCCAGGGATGAGTGGGAGTCCGCTGCATTGCAAAATGCTAATACAAAGTGTAATGGGTTGTTGCCATTGTGGGGACCTCAAGTGCCCGAATCTGCATTTGCAAGTTGTCTTGCTCGTCACAACACATATTTGCAAGAAAGCACCAATTATAGGGATATCAGTCACATGTCTACAATACACGATTTTAAATTGCTTCTCCTAAGATTTGCTCAAGAGAAACCTTTCCATGAAGATACAGGAGGAGGAGGTCCCCAAAGTAACATGCATTTAATCCCTTACCTTGTACATATAGCTCTGTACGTAATTAATACGTAAGTAAATTTACTCTTTTACATAGTAATTTATTAATACCTGTACTTTAGAACTCGCATCAGTAAAAGAGAGGAGACAAGTCTATTGGCATTTTTAGAAAATAAGAGTAGTGAGAAATGGGTGGAATGTGCCTACGATGCGGAAGGACCACTCTATTGGATTGTACTATCAATTTTAGTGCACTCACCTCAAAGTTGGAATGTCCACAAGTTGGTCCATCTTAAGCGGCTGATTATTATAGCACAATCGAGGTTTTGTACTCCGGCCGGTCCTACCAAAACACTTACAGATAAGTCTCTTAAAGAATACTCCGTGTATAAACCGTACCTTGTGATGTTTGGCCTTATTGATGGCATTTATAGTAATTTCTTTAAGGTAATACCTTCATCTGTGAGAATCCATTTTTATATTTTGTATTTTAGAATATTAGTGGAACTGACGAACAATGGTCAAACAATTTAGCCGATTATATAAGACATAATGATGAAGCTTTATTGAAAGCATCGGAAAGGTTGTTAGGATTTTATACTGATGAGTTATTGCCTTGTACTTCCTTTTCAGAATTCTGTGATGTTATGGGTAAGTAGTGGAGTTTATTTGCGATATATTGCTATCTTTTGTGATTTTTAGGTTTGTTAGATGTTATATCAGATCCAGAGAATTATATAAGAGATCTTATTAATGGAATTCAGTAAATTATCTGCTTTCATTATTTTAGTATTATTAAATTGAGTAAGAATAAACTGAAAAGGCTGTTACAATAACAAATTTGCTTTCTGTACTCGGCATAATGTAATGCTGTGGTTAATTTCACTGAGTTTATTGTAATTGTAGTAGTCACGCTGTAAATTATTGTAATTTATCTTAATTCCCAATAAAGTTTGATCTTCATAGTATTCAGTTTACTGTAGATAATTGTGCTGTGTATGCTGAGTTTGGTCTGTTTTAAAAAAAAAATTGATGATGGTAGGTAGAAGTTCGCAATGTTTATTGTAACAAAGGAGCACCGCTATTGTTAAATAGCTAAAAAGGTTAAAATATATTATTATTATTATAAAAAACATATTGTAAATTTAGCGTGAGGGATTGTTTGTAACAGCTAATTGTTTGGTAGTTTAAAATTACATTATAGAAATCGCAGTGTTGTTAAGTTTTATCACGTAGCTGTGAGGATTAGCAATTTAACTTCAACAGCAATCAAGTTAGTTTGTGAAAAATTTGATCCTGCAAGCTGCGAGGTTCCGCAGCTGAATTTGGAACATACAATTTGGTGCGTTAACTAAATTTCCATTGCGTAGATGAAAAAGCATTCTTAATTTAATTCAAATTGTGACGAAAGTGTAGATTATGGGCTACATTATTTTTTCGAAAAGGACAAGTATACCATTTCTAGTGTTATAACAAAACAACTGGACAAATTTCTGTAAATCACGGGACAAAATAAGACTATTTGGAAGCTTGATTTATAGTAGGACCGTTTGTATTTGATGATTTTGGTATGGACTACTTTATACTAAAATTTCCATTCAACAACAAGTTGATATTGCCGTGCCATCTGGCGCAGTGGAGTTGAAGATCGACTGCGGTCCTTGGTTGGAATCTGGGTTCGGGCATGGATATTTGTAAATGTATAGTGGATTGGGTTGGTAGAGCAGCCTTGACTAAGAAGGGCCAAAAAATAAAAAAATATATATTACCCAGGCGGTACCAAAAAGTTCAGTTATACCGTTGCGAAGGGATCTGTTTTCCATATTTCTAAGTTGAAGCTACCTTTTCCAAAGGAGAATAATATTAATCGTAATCACAGTATGTTATTTTAAACTTTTTGATTTGTATAAACTATAAAGTATTGGTCGCTTACTTTTAGGAATCAATTTTGTTTAACGTAATCATAATATTCCTAAAGGAACCGACCCATGAAAATCAATTTGCCTGAATCAGATTTGTATTGCATTTGGAAGCACTGAAACTAGCTTGTGGCTGTTGCCAAATTGAACAAAAACACCAAAAAACCACAATAATAAAACCTCGAACGCGTTTCACCACCAAGGCTGCCATCAGTGTCATCATCGCCGAACAACTGAACAATACAACACAAATACGACTGTATTTATCTTGGACTATGAAAGAGAGGTATTTATACTATAATCACCAGTGAAAATGGAAGGTTACGAGCTCTGATTTGGCGTAAAGTACGTCATTCACCATTATTCATTAGGAATTGTTTGTTTTTACGAATCTCTAAACTTTCATAACAATCTAATTAATTGTTACTACTTACTTACTTAACAATACTTAGGCAAATATCGTTAACGATATGACTATTTTCAAGCATAGTAAAAATTTCAGCCTGCTCGGTTGTGTAGTTTCCGAGAAAAGCTACCCCACCCCCCAGCTTCTGTTACCTACGTAGAATCCAGTGGCATAGGCAAAAAAACTTTTGAACTACCGTTTCTGAGGGTCTGAGGACCAAAGTTGGCATTTTTTTTATATGTGGCACCCTGTATATCTTAACGTCAATTGTTTGCAGTCCTTTTCCTGATTACATTTATGCATCACACTCACAACTGTATATATTTTTTTTAGCAATGAAAATCAATTAAAACCTTATTTTTACTGTTTTTAAATAGTATGCCATGAATTCATGGAGATTTTGTGTTATTTATTCATCCACGGTAACTAAGGCACTCGATACCAATCAATAAAAACTGGCTGGCGGTAGAAATATGCTATTTCAAAATTTTGAGAAATATGATAAAATATATAATTAAATAAAAAAGATAGAATGATACATCAATGTAATCACGAAAAAGAATGCAAAAATGGACAGGGTGTTGCATTAAAAAAATTCCAAGTTTGGATCGAATCACGGAAATTGTTTTTTAACTACGCCACTGGATTCTACGTAAAAATATCTAAAATATGCAGTTTTTACCTTTTTTCTATCTTACATCGGTAGTAAGATATCAATGTCAAACTTTTCGTTTTCACCCTGTAACTTAGATACAAACCGTAATGGGATAGATTCTGTAGGACACTGTACGTGTACATATTCTTGAGCTGGTATTGATGATTTTATGATTATTTCTATTTTTTCGTTTTATTGTATTATTTTGTATACTTTTTGTTAATAATAAAAAATCAAAATTTTCTTAACCCTTTCACTATTTTTGTACATCACCATGTACATTTAATCAAATTGCGTTATACGAAGCCAACGAAATTTTTTCGTGCCATCTAACTTTGTACATCACAATGTACATCATAGTCGAATGTTTTTATGTGGGTAGTATACATGCGGCAAACTGTTAACATCAGGTCGGGCAAATTTTATGCGTGGTTATGGTATTCTAACATAAACAACGTTTGACGCAGTGATCCCAGATTTCACGATTTATCGTGAGATTTCACGATCTTGAGTTACATCTCACGATCTCACGAATACAGTAGTAAATCTCAAGATTTTCCGTATTTCAAAAAATACTTTCAATTTTTTAATCTGATTCATGAATAAAATTTATATGCACAAAACGAAACAGTTATTAAAACAATAGCACATTCAGCTGATTCAACAGTCATATGGATATGAGTAAAGAATGAGCTGAAGCAGCGTAAGCGTAACGTTAGTAACGTGATACCGACGTGAATGTTGAATGAATCATGATGTGTTGTGTTGTGTTTTTCCACGCTGCCTTATCCCTGGCCACTCAGATGTCGGCTTGCGCGCTCAGCGTATATTACTTTTACTAAGGAATTATTGTCTTGTAGAAATCCTTACGCATACCTATTATAGATAGAGAGATTTTAATTTTTAATTAGTCAGTTTAACTTTGGCACACCGCACAGTTCGGTTTCTAATGCAAATTTGCTAATTTCATTAGTCATAGTCAGTTTGGACCGTACCTGTACGTATACTCGGGTTTCTTCATCAACTTTATTATTGACAATATACGTAACTAAATAAACTATTAATCACTAATGTGCTGAAGCGAAAATGTCTTCCGGTTCCGATTCAAATCGTGTTGATAGTGACACAGATGATAGTTCACCTTCGGCTTCAACGTCGCGTAAGAGGCCTAAATTGGCGTACAAACAAAAATACAAGAAGGATTGGGAGAAACAAATGCCATGGTTACAAGAAAGCCAAAATGGAGCATCTTTTGGTTGGTAAGTTACGCCTATAGTTCATACGGAACACAAAGTGTTAAATATAGCTTAATTTTATATAGGTGTAAAGCATGCAAATGTGACATAAAAATCACCCATGGAAAGGGTGATTTGGTAAAACACGAGTATACATCAAAACATACGAAATCTTGTGTATCTACCGTAGGACAAAAAACCATTACGTCCATGTTTGCTGAGAAGACAAAAGAAATGACCACAGAGATGAGGGCAAAAGAAGCCGAGATACGAATTGCCGGTTTTGTCGCGGAACATAATCTTCCATTTAAGATAATGGAACATCTTCCAGATTTAATGCGTGCTGTGTGCAGTGACTCGGCCATCGCTAAAAAAATCAAATGCGGTCCTACCAAAATTAAATCAATTATTACAAACGTAACAGGTGAAACTCATCGGCAAAATCTAATAGCTTTGATGAACAGTAACAAATTTAGTTTAATTGCCGATGAGTCAACTGATCGCTCGTGCACTAAAAATTTGTGCCTAGTTGCAAGGATAAATTGTAATAACAATAATGTAAAAGACTACTTTTTGGCGTTAATTCCAATACATGACGCTACTGGCGCAGCTTTGTTTGAACATATAATTCAATTTTTCAATAAGTATGGAATTGATTTTAAACAAAACTGTATCGGTTTTGCTTCTGATGGAGCAAATAATATGATGGGGGGCCAAAATTCTGTCGTAAGTCGTATCAAAGAACTTATACCTGGAATATTTGTCATGAAATGCATATGTCACAGTTTCCACCTTTGCGCGTCATATGCGTGCGAAAAGCTTCCTGAAGAAGTTGAAAAATTCGCCAGATATGTTTATAATTACTTTTCCAATAGTCCCAAAAGAACTGAGGAATTGAAAGAATTTCAACAATTTGCTAATGTATCTCCAGTAAAAATGCTACACCCATCTTCTACAAGATGGCTGTCACTAGAGTCAGTTGTCACTAGGTTACTCACTCAATACGGCGCTTTAACGCTATACTTTACGGATAAAGCATCATCTAAAAAAGATCAAGCAGCATTTTCTATTTTACACCTTCTTCAACAACCTGAAACAAAATTGTACTTAGAATTTTTGGCTTATGCTTTACCATTTTTTAATAAATTAAATACGTTAATGCAAAGTGAACAGCCACAAATTCATACTATTTATAAAGAAGTCAGCAACACCATAAAAACAATTATGGAATGTTTTATTAAAGACAGTATCATGAGTAAATTAAATGTTTACGAGATAGATTTCCAAAATCCACGGAACTTCCAAAATATTGAAGAAATGTACTTTGGCGCCGTAATAAATAGCAGTGCTAATTCAGAGACCCTTTTGCAAATTAAAAAGCAATGCCTTCAATTTTATATTGAATCTTTAAAACAGATCTTGTCTAGATTTCCCTTAAAAGATTCTATTTTTTCAAAATTGGATTTCATGGATCCAGAGACTGTTGTAAATAGAAAAGTTAAATCTATTGCCGATGTTGTGTCACATTTTTCCAATCTGCACTCCCATAGTCTTCAAGACATCGATAGTCAATGGAGAATGTTGCGAAATATAAATTTTGATGATTTTAATTTATGTATTGGTGATGACATCGTATCATTTTGGCGGAAAGTTTCTAAAATAAAATTGGGTACCGGTGAACAAAAATTTGGTAAATTAATTGCTTTCGTATTTAATTTATTATCTTTACCGCACTCCAGTGCGAATGTAGAAAGGTGTTTTTCTCAAATAAATTTGAATAAAACCAATATGAGAAACAGATTAATTAGTAGTACCTTGGAGGGTATACTACTAACAAAAAGTTTGGTTTCCGAAGGCGGTCAATGCGATAAGTTTGAAATAAACAAAGAGATGTGTAAGAAAATGAATAGTACTGATTTGTACAAAAACAAAGAAAATGAGGGGTCTGATTTAGACTCTGATTAAAAATATAATTTTGTATACATATTACCTTGTTTTATTTCATATATGTATTAATGTATTTGAATTTTTACTTTGGTAAGTACAAAGGTCCACTATATTAAAAATTGTAAAGAAAAAATTAACACGCCGCTGCTTTGCCATTCAAAATGGAATTCTCACGATTTATCACGATTTTTTACGATCAACCTAACGAAATCTGTTCAATGCCATCTGTGATCACTGTTTGACGTGACATTTTATTTTTGCAATTGCTGTTGAATTTTTGAAAAAAAAATTAGTTTTGTGATTTGTTACTGGTAAGTATGCATTGCAACGTCAAAGTTCACAACTTTTTAGAAATTTTTATATTATACTTGATGAACAAATGAAGTTTGAATTAGTATGTACATCAGGAAGGACAAACGCAGTTCAGTGGGTCTAATGTTTGTTGTTGTAAAAAAGTTACATTTTTCACAAATGAGATAAATAATTTGTAGTACTGTAAATACTCGTAGCATAATGAACTGATTTGGTTCTATCCCTTCAAATTTGGCTATACTTTGTTTTTTATCGAAGAATTTGTTTTTTTTATCGTATTTTCTTCAGATAATGTCAAATATAAGAAAAGATAAGGACCCACACAGAAAACTTACAGAAGCGGAACTTCTTTATTACCTCGAAAATGATATTTCTGATATCGAATTTTTGTCAGATGATGAGTTGGAATTAGACGAAGTGTGCAGAGACCAAACAAATGATAACGTTTTAGATGGAATAAGTACTGAAGATCGAGAAAATGAAGATGAAGATTTGGCAGATGAACAAGAAGGGCCGGAGGAAATTGTAATTGGGGAAAATGACAAAGATGATAGAGGGCAATTCGAAAAAGAAAAAGAAAATTTTGCGAAAATCCATAACCTAACTGAAAAATCAAAAATAAGGTGGATACAGAAAGACAATATAGAATACGAAACAAGGAATATTCACTGGCATGCAAGTCAACCATCAACCTTAGTTGTAGATTTGCCAGCTCCAGTAAAATTTTTTACTAAATATATTCCCGATAAAATACTGCAACAAATGGCTGATATGACAAATTTATACGCCACGCAGCAAAATACTGCTAGGTTTCCCTCAACTAGTTTGACTGAAATCAAATCTTTTATAGGAATCCATATTATTATGGGAAATTTACAGTTTCCTCGAGTCTCCATGTATTGGCACCGTAGTATGGGAATACCATTAGTGAAAGATAACATGCCTCTATCTAGATTCTACAAGCTGCGCCAGGCAATACATATAGTTGACATTACCAGCCGCGAAGAAAACAACCAAGATAGGTAGGTATTTACTAAGACCACTAAATTGGAACAAATATGACATTTCATTTATGTTTTTTTGTTACAGATTGTGGAAGGTAAGATGTTTGTACGAGTCTGTAAGGAGAAGATGCCTCAAGCTTCCACTAGAAACTAATCTGTGTGTCGATGAACAAATAGTTCCATTCAAGGGACAAATCAATATCAAACAATATGTAAAAAACAAACCCACAAAATGGGGTATCAAAATCTACGTCTTAGCCGGCCAAAGTGGCCTGATATACGACTTTCTAATTTATCAAGGTTCGACAACGCCCTTCAGTCCTATATATGTAAAATATGGGTCGGCGGCTGCCGTGGTTATGCAACTTAGCGAAAGAATATCTGAATCGAACCATGGCCTATTTTTTGATAATTATTTTACTACTTATAACTTGATTCAGTATCTTGACTCCAAACATATATACTGCGTAGGAACCATAAGAGCAAATCGTTTTGCCAATCCAAGGTTGCCAAGTGACAAGGAAATGAAAAAGATTGGCCGTGGTTCTTCTGCGGTTTCAATCAGTAAAGACGGCATTGTCATCACAAAATGGTATGATAACAAAGCAGTACTGACAGCTTCAAATTTTGTGGGGATAGGAGTGGCGGACGTTTGTCGAAGATGGGATAAAACGAGAAAGGAATATGTACAAGTACCTAGACCTGAAGCTATAAGACGATACAACAGTAATATGGGTGGTGTCGATAAGTTAGATTTTTTACTAAGTCTATATCGGTCGTACGTTCGATCAAAAAAATGGACTGTCAGAATGATCACCCATGCTATTGATCTAGCATTGGTAAATTCATGGTTAGAATACCGTACACAAGCAATTCTTTTAGGACTTCCCAAGAAGGACATTCTTGATCTGTTAGGTTTTCGCATGGAAGTGGCAGAAAGTTTAATTTATACCCGACGTGCTCCTAAAAGGGGAAGGCCCTCCGAACAAATAGAGAACCGAGTCATTTGTGGAAAGAAAAAAGTTGAAATAAGACCTACAAATGCCCAAAGGTTTGATAAATACGATCATCTTCCACAGTATGATGACAAAAAGGAAGCGTCAAGGTGCAAAAATCAAGATTGTAAGAGCAGAACACATATATATTGTCAAAAATGTAAAGTCCATCTTTGCATTTTAAAAGGGAGGAACTGTTTTTCAAAATTCCATTCCAACTAGATTGGTTCAAACATAAAATTATGTAACAAATATAAATAAATGAATAAATATTTTTACATCCATGAACTTTTCTTGTACATTACGATGGACATCTTGTACCGGGGGTGTGGGGGTAGCTAAATTTTTTGAATAATGAAAAAATGAATCTATATTACAGCCATACTTTGTATACAAAAAATCAATTTTTTTAACTAACTCTAAAGGGGTGTGATAGCGAAAGGGTTAATGTAAACTTTTTATGATGTGGCCCGCAGCTATCTGTGGAAACCTTAAAATGGCCCTTGATGATAACATCATGATAACGTTTTTTATTTCCGCATTTATCTTTTCTAACTTGGACGAATAAGGCTTTTTGAGATTGATAGGTATCTCTGTGGGTTTGCCATTTCAGCAGCTAATGGACCATATTCTTCAATATCAAATCAATGTTAAGAATTATACACCACATAAATAATCTTCCTGTGTAAATAAATTAAGCCTTTTCATAGGAAAGTTGAGTTTTTATTATTAGGGTAATAATATTACAAACACAAACAGTTATCACTTATCAGCACCGTAGTTTGAATATCGAAGGTGCAGTTCAAATAAAAAATGCCTTATTATTATACCTGAAAAAATTTGGGAACCTTATTTTTTATACAATCCTCGTACATACATCTTCGTCAACTACTTTATCTACCTATTTGTTCACTTTAAAAAAACAATCCAATAAGTACCTAGTGCAGTTAAATAGCAAAGGAATAAATCTGTAAGTATTTGCACTTGATTCGCGTACTCAACACCAAATAAATAGTTAAAAAGTACTTAGTTCAGAGAAATAATAATAATAATATTTAATTGACTGTAAAATATGCTTACAAACAATATAAATAAACATAAGAACCAGTAAACGTCTACAAACTTCACACAAATGTACCGAATTACATATTTAAATGCTCGGCCACGGAATAAGGTTCGAGATCGTAGAGCAGATCAGTGATAGCTCTTTTAAAAGCGTTTTTAGATGTAACAACTACTGCGTATCTGCACCACTGACATAAATAAAAATAGGGGTCAGTGATCTGCACACCTATGGGTATCCAACGTGTTGACTTGATGCACAGGTGCTTGATGCATAATCCACCAACATAAAGAGGAGAAATCTGTAGATTATTGACGAATGAAGATATCTACGCGGTGGGTACTGGGTTCGTTCATTCGTTGTACCCTGTCCTCTAACAGAGAAAATGAATACTTTCGAAATTGCATTAGGGTAAAGCAAATTTAATTTCCTCAAATTTTTCTTACTTGTAGGCAACCCGTTATACTTATTAGCATTACAGCTGCGTTTACTAACCGTTAGCAATCTGTTCTTTACGTATAGTCTTTGAATATAAAATTAGGAAGAAGTCTAAGCCTGTACTTTCGCGTGGGTCTCTAAAAGTACCTTGAGCGATAGATGGAGCCACGAAATGAACGTGAAAAGTACCTTTGGATTTATATACGCGCTTTCCGAAGGCAGTCACTGCTCTTCCTTCTTACAGCGCGTTTTATATGTAGGACAAAGATAGCCTGAAGTCTCCCACTTTCACTCATTGATTTGTTACCGTACTCTTATGTTGATAGTAGGCGCGCGTACATAATTGAAAACGCTGCAAATACCAATTTAGACACAGAAAATTTCATAGAACAAAAATTGTAGACAATTAAATTTACTATAAAAAAGTCCGTGACGGCATATATCTATCTTTAATCGTTTAGCCTTACCAACCATTTAAAGTTGTACCTAGTGTCCTCGTTGGTTTCAATAATATCTTTGAACGCTTATCATATATTAATGGTTAAAGATACATATATGCTGTCGCGGACTTTTTTGTAGGAAATTAAATTCTCTACAATTTATGTTTTATGAGTTTTTCTGTACGAAGTTTCGTTTTCACGGCGTTTGAAAGTAAATGTGGGTACCTTTCGTTTTGTGACTGAATCTTAAATTCAAAGGTTGTGAGAAATTTTATGGTACGATTCAATGTTTTCTTACCACTATTTTATTTCTCTATTCGATAGGGTTTTGTGTGCTATTTAAGTTTTATAAGGAGTCTCCTGTGCCTAAACCCCCTAATTTTTAGGTTATTCAATATTTTTCACAAAACAATAATGAATTACATGTTTAATGTTTATAAACAGGATCGAGTAAGCCATGATAATAGAAATAGAAACCAATAGAATTCCAGTAAGCAAGTGTCACAAGTAAATTATCTGCTCCAATTAATGTGCTCCCTATTTCGTAGTAAAATAAGATTAATTAAAAAGGCGAATTTCGAACTAGTCTTTTTAAAAAATCTTATTTTACTAGGAAATAATGAGTACCTACACTTGCAGCAAACAATTAATTTATGGCACTTGTTTACTATTTGGCATTCTTTGGTTTTTTTATTATCACGGTTTACTCCTGTTTATAAACATGTAATTTATTAATGTGCAACTGCGTAGTGAAAAATATTGAATAACTTAAAAACTACGGGGTTCAGGCACAGGATATCCCTTCTAAGAATTGAAGAGCGCACAACAGACCATCGAATAGAGAAACAAAATAGTGGTAGTTCCATTTGAATAAAAATAGTTATAGCACTTTGAAATCTAGAAATTTTACAATTTTTTTGTGTTGCCTTTTATTCGAATTAAAATTATTGATTTCTATTTCTTAACTTTAAAATCAAGGTCGCTACGATTTATCAAAGTGGGGTTGGTTTATAGAGAATTATTCGAAAAAAAATTAATAATTTGGCCTGCAGAGGTTAAAAAATGACATCGAATTCGCTAAAAATAAACATACTGTTCCATTTAAAAAAATCAGCTGTGTATTGACACCGTAAACATGAGACACTCTGTACATTCAAAAATAATTTCTGTATATGCATAACATTCTATAGTTGACATTTGCACAAAAGATTTTTTGCTATTTTTTACCAGGTATGAACTAGAAAAGACCGACGCAGTGTTATAGGACCCTGTATAATTGTTATAAAACGTAAAAAAAGAAAGAAAGAATGGGAAAATTTCGTCTTTTTTGCATTTGACTTCAATTATCTCGTTATCTATTGCTCTGAGAGAAAATGAAGAGAAATAAATTTGATTAGAATCGAATTTTCTATAAGATACAGTTGGTATGGAACATTCATTTTCAAAAGTTATTGCTTTTTTATGGAAAGATATAAAAAAAGTAATCCCGAAAATTAACAATCTGTTACTAATCAAAATTCATCCTATCTTTTATATTATCCGTAGCTTGATAACGGAACAATACGGCAACCGATCACCCGATCACCGTAGATATCATAGTCATTGATTAATTAAAAATACAAATTAAAAAATCCATGCTTTGTCTTTCAAGGTGGGTGACTCCCAGATTCTCCCCCAATTATTTCCGCTAGTGGAACCCTAAGCAAACCGTTTCCAACAATTGTCCCGATGATTCTTGCAAATCGACGGACTATCAAATTTTTTTTTGGAAAATCCGAAGACTTTTGCTAGTTAACAAATGGAATAATTTCCGAAATATAACAAGAAATCTCCATAATAGGCGAACAGAAACCTCTCGGAAAATGTACCTAATATTAAAAAAAAATACGTCGAAATCCGTCCGTCAATTTGCAGAAATCATCGAGACAACATTAGGAAAAGGTTGCTTTGGGGTTCCACCATCTGTACAAAAATTTAGAACGTTATGAGACTTATCCAATTTGTTTGTTTATTTAATCAATGACTATAATACCTACCTACGGTGATCGGGTTTGTCGTATTGTTTTGTTATCAAAAGAAGGGACCAAATATGAATGATGAATTTTACTCAGTGATAACAGATTGTTAATTTTCGGAAATGCGTTTTTTTATATTTCTCCATAAAAACAATAACAATTAAGAATGAACGTTCCACACTAAGTGTATGGTCTACATAGACAATTCGATTCTAAACAAATTTACTTGAATACCTCACCGGAAAAAAAAATGGAAAAGTTCATAAAAAATATCACTTCTCTTCATTTTTTCACTCGGGGCGATAGTTAACGTCAGTCAAATGCGAAAAAAAACATTTTCCCATTTTTTTCTTCATTTTTTCTGTATAACAATATATTTCGGGAGTTTCCGGCCAGGGGATTATGATTTTCAGATTCAGCGGATTTTTTTACATAGAGTACATTTGGTTTTGTTGAGTGAAATGACATCCAGCCCAAACCGTACTTTTGATGAATTATAGGGCTTTGCTTCACGCCCTTCTGATAGTGTATTATTAGTATGGGTAAAAATATCTGTGTAAAAAATATAGCAAACGAGCTCTTGGGTATGGCTATAGTATGTGCATTGTGCAAAACCAAATTGAACCTGGTGTTAGATTTGCCCTAAGACAGTTTGAAAGATCGTGTGACAATATCCAAGGACTGGAAAAAATTTTTCACAGCATTTTTTCTTTTTTTTTCTTTTGTTTTTTTTACCAACTTAACATATATTCTTTATATTCTTTATGTTTTCGAATAGTTTTTTTATTAACAATACATGAACATTGTTATTGGGGTAACCTGTTATGTTCATAAATAAATAAGTTGGCACTGCGCATGCGCAAAACCAAATTTTGAAAATGGCGTTACATTTGCTTTTATTCCAAGTGCATACGTAGGTATCAAATGTAATTTAAATACATTTCTAAATTTAAAAAAGTTTGCAATTCGGTTCATATATGGCCGAGATACCAAAAGAGCACTATGCATTTTGAATCGATTAGGCTCAACTTTTGCCATTGCGTATTATATTGCTAAAGCTATGCCCATATTGAATTTCATGCAATTCACTTCATAACTCACGTAGATGTCAAAAGGGCCTTCCTTATTATACAGGCAAGGAGCTCGATAATATGTGAATTGCACTAATAATAAAAATAAAAATAAGAACATCGTTTTTTTCATTTCCCATTTTCGCATATTTCCCTTGCGCTTTGAGCAGAATGGCAAAAAAATAACGACAGTTTCAATTTTTACAACGCTTCGATCATCCCAACCGGAACCCCCAAAAGCACCTGAAATTATAACAACATGTAGGTCAAGGGTTCGAGTCGTACCTACGCCAGATTCTTTTTTAACTAAAAAGTTTATTAAAAGTTCAAAATTAAGATGTGCGTACATTTTTTTACAAACGCTGAGAAAACAAAAAGAGATACAAAAAAAGTTATAAAAGATAAATTGTAGAGAATTTAATTTCCTACAAAAAAGTCCGCGATGGCATATATGTATCTTCAACCCTTAATATATGATAAGCAATCAAAGATACTATGAATGCCAACGCAATCAAGATGTGCAACTTTAAATGGTTGATATGGCTAAACGATTAAAGATAGATATATGCCGTCGCGGACTTTTTTATAGTAAATTTAATTGTCTACAATTTTTGTTCTATGAAATTTTTTGTATCCCAATTGGTATCGGCAGCGTTTTCATTTAAAGTGCGCGCGACTAGTATACGTACCAACAAAAGATTACAGTATTGAAATCTTCAGTGCAAACTGCAAACGCAATTCGGAGCATAATATTCGCTCTAAAACCGATTATTAAGGATCCTCAGATCCTTTATAGTTTTGTATTGTCGTCCGTCCGTCCGTCCGTCCGTCCGTCCGTCCGTCCGTCCGTCCGTCCGTGTGCGCTCTAACTCTTTTTAAAAGTGGCCGATTGTGTTGAAATTTGGTATACGGGTACGTTGGACATTAAGAACGGACGCTATTGATTTTCAGGAAGCTGGTTCAACAGGAACAAAAGTTATACGACTTCGAGTGAATCGGGAACAGGAAAAACTGCGAACTCAATATAATAAAAATTAACATATTTCATTCCCTAGGTCATGTATCGAGTTCGGACTTTCGCTAGATTATTCCCTATGACTCTTAGATGTGTAACAATTCAATATAACTCTTCTCTGTGGTCTCGGTCAAAAGTTTTAGAGCAAAATGTACCCAAAATTATTCTTTACACATGAATTTAGAGTTGTAAAAGCTTTCAAACGCATTATCTTGATGCTGAAAGAGTTGATAACGTGCACGTTTGATAACCGCATGTGTGTGATTCAAAAATGTTAAATTATTTTTCTGAGGCCACATGGATTTTGATCAAAATATGTCAAAATCGTTAATTATGCACCAAAATCGTTGGGAAAAAGACTACGCGCATTATCTCAATGCCCAAGACATGAATTTGATGCATTTTTGGCGACCACGTGGATTTTGATCAAAACATGTCAAAATCGTTATTTATGCACCAAGATCGTTGGGAAAAGACTAGGCGCATTATCTCAATGCCCAAGACATGAATTTGATGCATTTTTGGCGACCACGTGGATTTTGATCAAAACATGTCAAAATCGTTATTTATGCACCAAGAGCGTTGGGAAAAAGACTAAGCGCATTATCTCAATGCCCAAGACACGAATTTGATGAATTTTTGGCGAAAACGTGGATTTTGATCAAAACATGTCAAAATCGTTATTTATGCACCAAGATCGTTGGGAAAAAGATCAAGAGCATTATCTCAATGATCTAAACATGAATTTGATCTATTTTTATGGACCACATGGATTTTGATCAAAACATGTCAAAATCGTTATTTATGCACCAAGATCGTTGGGAAAAAAACCAAGAGCATTATCTCAAAGCCCAAGACATGAATTTGATGCATTTTTGTTAACTATAAAATGTATTTTGTAAGATTAAAATAAATTGTCGTTAAAAGTGATTGTAATACTGAGGATCCTTCGATATTTCGTTGTATCGGTTTATATTATTATAAAAGTGGGAGAGGTACACCTTACCTCTCCTGCGATTGTCACGGATCCACAAGTTCCCATTAGGCTAGACTTCTTCCTAATTTTATATTCAAAGGTATAGTCTAAAGGCGGGTCACATCAAGCGCGCGGTCCGCGCGTGCCGTGCCAAACGTTTTCGAACAAAATTCGTGTATGTTTGGAGAATTGTCTGAACAGAGCAAATGCGCGCACGTTTGGCTATGCTTGTAAAGGTTCCACAAGTTTTGTGCGTTTGTTCAATTCGTAAATAGGTGATCATCTCGTCCAAATCGAACGCGCACAAACACGCAATTTTTTTGATGTACCGACAACAAGTGGATAATGTTTGCGAACGTTTGTTCGTGCTTGTTGTTGTGCGTTTGTGCGCGGTAACCCGTCCACATTGAAAGCGCCACAACGTTCGCAGGCGATTTATTTGGCGCGGCACGGCGCGGATCGGCGCGCTTGATGTGGACCCGCCTTTAGAGCCCGCGACGTAAACCATTACCATTCAAATAGCAGCACAAAACGTATACATGAACAAGTATTGGAGGTGACCATACACGAAATGCTCGGTCTGTCGGACCGCATTTAGCCGGAAGGTAAACAAATTCAATTGTTTATTTGTATTATATTTAATAAGAAATCATTACTTTTAAAAGAAGCAGGTCGTATGTGGTACCAAATTAAAGCTTTTGACGTTAGCTGCACAAATAACTCGGTCTGTCGGCAGGCAAATAGCCGGAAGTCCTTGACGGACCGACATTTAGTCTGCTGCTGGAAGCCGACATTTCAGTTAGTTATAAATTTCCACGGTCACTCTGATCCAAGCATTTTAAGTTCTGTCATTGAATGATAAATCTGAATCTTCAATGGTTCTGTACCAAAGAGTAAATAACCATAAACCTCTACAACGGATCTAAAAAAGCGGCTGAGCTCCTTGGTTTGACCCTACGGGGTCATTGAAGTAATGAAATAATATTGTAAAGTGAAGAAAAGTTAATCCTTTTAGTGAAAAATATTAAATTTAAACATAAATATATTAATACCTAATGCTCTTCTGGCAGCTGCAGATGATAACATTTTAATTGATAAAAGAGTAGGTACCTACGGATAACCCGTCGTTAGCACAACTTTTGGGTGAAGTGCAGCTATACACTGTGTCCCAGATGAAGAAACCATAGAAGATTGTCAAATTAGAGCCAAGAAATTTGTTGATTTCGTTTTTATTCTTTTCTTATGTTATTTGAGCAGATACAAAAAAAAACATTTTCTCATTGTCACTTATTGAGTTTTACAAGAGACGTTGAGACGTTTCATTTCGGAGAAATCATTATCAACTTTATTTTTGTATATGGCCCGTAAAAAAAAGTAGACCAATAAAATGGGACTTCCGGATTCTCGATGACGCGTTTCTCTAAAGTTAGGAGGCCCCTACTCTTTCTACTAACCCTGGTTAGTTCAAGAGCCTACAAGGGTAAGTAAAGCGATTTCAACTACTGCACTTGATCTTATTACTGTCCCATCAGATATTGATGTAGATACAGTTGGAGTAGTTCCCATGCACCACATATCAGATCATTGTTTGACTTACTGTGAATATCCTGTATACAAGAATTCGCCGTATATGACTTACCTACCTAATGAACAGTTGCTTGAGAACCGATGCATTTCCAGTCGACTGGAAATTAGCAAACATTACACCTCTCCCCCAAAAACAAGAAACCCAACTACCTTCAATCGAATTCTTTATCAAATTTGTAGATCGGAGTTCGTGAATTGGCAATGTAGCCCAAAAAATAAGGAAGGCCCTTTTGACATCTCCGTGAGTTATAAACCCAATTGCATGAAATTCAAATGCGTACCTATACCTTTAGCCATATAAGACGCAATTCCAAAAATTGAGCCTATTCGATCAACTTTCACAGTGCCCTTTTCGCATCTCGACCATTTATAAACCGAATTGCAAACTTTTTTATTTATGAAAGTATTTAAATGAAATTTGATACATAGCCACTTGGAATAAAAGAAAATGTAGCGCCATTTTCCAACTTTGGTTTTGCGTAGGATGTGCAATACCAACTTTCTTATGTATGAAAGCAATTAAATGAAATTTCATACTTATACACTTTAAATAAAAGCAAAACTAACATCAGGTTTAAAATTTGGTTTTGCACATGCTATAGCCCTCGCTATAGCCATACCCAGGAGCTCGTTTTCTATATTTGTTTAGTTTATTCATCTAAGAAACCCATAAAAAGTGTTGTAAGTTATTCCATTATTTAATAAAATTTTAATAGTAAAACATCGCATAGGTAGGTATACTAGCGGTACGCTTGAAAAAATTTTACTCCATAACTAAAAGGTGATACCACCATGGGTGGTATCTATTATATAGAATTTGAAAATACAATGAAACCATGTTTAAAGTATTCTATTGATGTTATTTTTAGAATTAGGTTCTTATAGTATTAGTACATGCATTGCTCACCCTAACATAAAGGTGAGTTCAGGGTCAGAAACTCTGGGTCCTCCATTTCTGCTGTCAGTGTCATCAATGAATAAGTAATTTAACTTTCTTGAAATATGAATTATTGCTGGCAAAATAAGTAGATCATCATAGTAATGGAGCACTCAGTATCTGAACATAGTAGTATCTAACACTGGACATATCTCATGTGGTGTTATGTTTTTATTAACCTTAGGTACAACGTTAAACGTAATTTTATAATATTCTTAAGTTATTGCATCAAAAAGCAACAGGTTGTATATATCGAGCATAGTTTAAACTAAAACTACGAACAATGAGAAAGTTTGGAAAATTTCGATAATACAGATAAAGATTGTCCGTTACTAATTTCGAATTTACAACACGTTACTTATAAATAACAAACCAATTTGGGTGTAATAAAAGAATCAGTCGATACGCTTGTGAGCAAATACGTCCGTTTTACAATTATATATATAGCTATCCTACATAGGTATTTAATAATCAAAAAATCTATAAGTTCATAAAACAACACTATATGATGTAACAATTAAAATTTGCAGATGGTTAACAACAAGCTGTACAACAGATCACAGGAGAAGGGGCATTTGGTGCCATTTTTATTATCAAAAGTTTGTATGTTTCAGTTTACACGTCGCCAAAGGAAATATCTTGTAGGTGACGCCAATTGTGAAGAAGATTGATGGTATTTACGGGAATCCCGGCTGCAGAAACTTGCCTTACACCCTCCGGATCAGAGTCTAGCATGATTATGCACATAAAGCTTTTACCAGTAATGTCATCTTTCGGATGCACCGTTACTGGAGTAAATTTGGTACATTTCCCTTCGACATACATGCACAACTGTTGATATATTTCTGGATATTGTTTTCGAAGAGATACGCCACGAACCTTGAGTTGATTTTGTATGTTGCTAAACACGTGTTCGCGTGATTTCACATCTCGCGTGGGAGAACAAGTTAAAACTAATGTTTCCAAATTCTCTGTATTATCTCGTTCAGGGATGGGTACATCTTTGCTTAGTCTCATTTTTGCACATCGCGACACTAATTGCCTTTCCCATTTCACCGCGCCTGTGGTGGGTACTTCCGAAACTACACATACAGTGACATATAAAACGAGTTTGGTGTCTGGATTATAACTTTTGCACATTTTCATTAATTCCGCGTACATTTGTGGTCCCATTTCAGTCGGAAGTAGATCTGTCCATCTCACATAAGTTAATTCACCAAAGAATGGCAACCCTACGGTTAAAAATTTTTCCGCTGCCTCTGGACAGGGAAAGAAGCACTTTACTGCACCTTGGCCGTGTGATAAATAACCCCGACGGGCGATAAGGGAAACTTGAAGAAGAGTATCGCTTTGTTCCTTTGAAGCCGCTAATACCTGCCTGCATAAAGTTCCCACTCTCGAAAATAAGCAACTTTTTCTGTGCTTTTCCCAATGTGCGCGGCGACACGCTTTAGAACAATAGATATAGGAACAATTATGACAATTTTTAAACGAACGCGCTTCTTTACTCGCTGTTGACACCACTTTACTGCATCGTGAATAACGACATCTTAATACAGGGGAGGAATGAAAACTGACCCGTCTTTGCACCGTTGGAGGATGATTCACCGGCTCACTACCTTCACTTCGCCTCCTAAATTGTTCTGCAGCTCTGGATTCTTCGCCTATGTGACTAGGGCTTGTATTAGCTGACACTGTCTCTAGAAAAAATATTGGTTAGTATATTAACAACTCTATGGGGAAGGTTAAGGAATTATGAAAAATTATCTATTAGAATCACAGAGATGAACAATGGTTTCCATTGATAGAAGCACTTTATGATAAGATCATCTAGCACTAACACTACTGAAATTTAATGCAGCGCCACAATTTTTTTATAAATGAAACGTGTTGAAGGCTGATGTGAAGAAGTGCCATCATGTAGAAAAACCTGTAATTAAACTTACATATGTCTCCTACCTTGGTGGCTTGGACTTGGTGCACGAGTTGATGGTGGAAGTCCGAGGAGCGAATCTAATACGTCTTCCAAAGTAGTTGAACTCGGTGATGGTTTTGTGTAACCCATATGTGTTTTTGAGATATCTACACAATTGCATTTAGCAGAAGTGGCTCTTTAAAATAGGTAGGTAATACATGGTTTCAATATATGAAAGCGCTGTGCGCATGCGGATTTTATGTAGCAACAGCAGCAAAGCAGGCTAAATCATTAAGTACCTATATTGTAGCACAAAAGGTGTAATTTTTGCAGCGACCTCGGAAGTATGGGTCAGAGGCGGCGACTCGCCCCCTCAGTTTTTACACAAGGAGGGCCGCGCCCCCTCTCAAGAATGAGTCGATAAATCACTCAAAAGCGACTAACACATCTTCTACTGCATACATGCATTACAAAAAGTGTAGAAGTAGAAAGGATATATTGAAAGAATTTGCCAGCAAAACTGCGGAAAAGCGGAAGATTTTTGGATATATTTAATTTTTTATACTTGCTTTTCTTTACAATAGTGCAGTAAATAGGAACAAAATTTTTGTAACTTTTGTATGTTCTAGTTCTTCATCATTTTTTAAATAAAATATTAGTGATCTATGGCTATGGTTTTCTCAATCGAGTTAAGTAGGTATCTCTGAGTTGCTCAGTTGCATATAACTAGACATCCTCCGACACTTTTTTTAAATTTTTTTCAAAACTTTTCTTTCAAAAATACATTATTTGATTGATTAACTAAACAGGTTTCAGGATCATTTAAAAAACCCACTGCTTTGCATTAATTCGGACACAATTTTGCATAGGAGGGATCTTTCAGACTCCATGATTGCTGATTTTTGCCCCCCCCCCCACCGTTATTCACTTCCGACGTCGGTGAATTTTTGGCCCCTAAAATCTTATCTCTTTTATTTCAAATTATATAAAAAATTGCACCATTTTCTTCGCCCCTGTAACTATCTGAAACTTTGCAACGCTCCAAGCTCTATTTATCGAAGATTATTTCATTATTTTATATTTAGCGAAACTGAATATTTTATAGAACAATGTATCAACAAGGGCGGAAATTAACTTTAACTTTATTGTCTCACTCAGAAAAAAAAAAATACATTAAATTAATAGAAAATTTGAGGCGAAGTTCAGCTTCGAAGTAATTCTTCTTAGCTGCTCTTACACTTAACCTCGTTGGTGGCATACTAAAAATGTACAAATACAGCTTTAAACTTAAACTTACTATAACATAATCATCATGGAAAAAAAAAAAACAAATGCAAGAAAGAGATGGAAATGTTTGCTTTTATGTGTTCGACTTTGTAGCACTAGTACTTAGGTGTTCTTTTACTTTCTTCCGAAACCTGGATAAAGGTAACAACTTGAGATTATCAGAGAGATCGTTGTAATAATGTGCAATGCAGTAGGAAAATGATCTGCGCCCTAGTTCTGTTTTAATGACTGGTATACTTAACTTGCCTCTAAATCTCAAGTTCAGGTGGTGTACGTCCGTGCGGTAAGTTATTTTGTTGTATAGGTAAGTATGGTGGCGTTTTGGTTGAAATTATTTTGTGATACAAACACAGCATGTGTAGTTTTCGACGGTTGAGCATGTTTAGCCAATCGACTTCTATTAGTTTATGGGAGATTCTGTGATAGGTACTTTTTAATGTTAAATATTAAGCGTAGACAAGTATTTTGAATTTTTTGTATTCGTGCAATGTCTCGCGAATCTAGACAAGGCCCATATACTGTATCACAATAATCGAATTTAGACAACACCAGGGAATGGCATAAAAGTGTTTTAATTTTCCGTAATTTTCCGATTCAGAATGTACCTATTTTGATAAATTAAACGCATACTACAGTAAGCATTTTGTATACATTTAGAGATATGCTGTTTATAACGAAGAGTGTGGTCTAGTGTTAGACCGAGGTTTTTAGCTGTTTGCATAATTGCAATACTTTCGCCATTTATTTTAATGTCGATATTGTTGATTATTCTTTGCCTATCGTCACTTCTACCAAATAGTATAACACCGCACTTGTTAGGATTCAGTATTAGTTTATGATCTTTACAGAATTTGCTGAGTTTGCTTAGATCTTTATTAATTAACTTACATGCATGATCAACATCTTCGGGTGCAAAGCTCAAGTACAGCTGTGAGTCATCGGCGTAAAAATGACAGACACATGACTCGATAACATTTATCAATTGTGAGGTATAGATTGAGAAAAGTATTGGGCTTAGAATAGCGCCCTGGGGGACACCGGATTTTAATTCCAAAAACTGAGACCGTTGGTTATTTACAATTACGGATTGACTTCGGCGGGACAGATAGTTTTTTATTAATTCAATTGCGCACACTTCTAATCCAACATGACGCAGTATAGCTAGTAGGACCTCATGGTCGACTGTGTCAAAGGCTTTTGAGAAGTCTAAGAGCACCATAATAGTAAGTCTTTTTTGATCTGTTGCTAATATAATGTCATCTGTAATGCTTAGCAAGGCTGTGCTACAGCTGTATCCGCGCCTAAATCCGGATTGATTTACTGGCAACACGTTATTACTTTCAATGTATTTCCGGAGTTGTTTTTCTACAAGTTTTTCAAATATTTTTGAGAGCGTTGGGAGTATACTTATGGGTCTCAGGTCTTTCAGCTCACTAGGTTTGTTAATTTTTGGTAATGGAATGACGAGGGCCTGTTTCCATTGTGATGGAAACACAGAATACTTTATGCAAAAATTTATAATGTGAGTTATTACAGGGAGTATAAGGGGTACGCACAGTTTAATGATGTGAATGTTAATTCCATCAACACCAGTAGCATTTGTTTTTATTGAGTCTATGACGTGTAACACTTCTACCTCCTCAACTGTTTTAAATTTTAGTGTTTTAGCCGGACCTCTGCTTTCGCCAGTATAAAGAAGTTCAGTATTCTGGTCATTAGTCTCAACTTTTGGAACGCAGTCTATAAAATATGCATTAATTTCATTTTCATCAGATAAGTTATTCGGGAGTGATTTATGTTTGTCTTTATTTAACATGTTCAAAAGAGAGACGTTTTTCCAGATGGAATTAGCATTTTCTGCAAATGATGTGTTCAAATAAGCTTTTTTTTCGTGTCTTATGGCGTTTGTAACTGCATTTCTTAATACCTTATAATGGTTCCATTGTGCTATGTCTTTCGTGTTTTTAAAGCTGGATAAGACTTGATCACGGAGGCCCATCATAATTTTGATGTTGTCCGTTACCCATGGTGAGAAGTGTGGTTTTTTATATCGCACTGTAACACGTGGAGCATGTAAATCCAAGAGAGTTTCTATGCTATCCACAAGAAAGTCAATTTTGATATCTATATTATGGATTTGGTAAATATTTCGCCAGGGGATGGAACTTAAATCATCTCTGAATTGATTGTAATTAATGTTTTTAAGGTTGCGAAATGTGCTTACCGTACACGTAGGTGGTAAGATTTCCACTTGAATTGTGCAAGTAGTGACGCAATGATCGGAAATATCATGTGCATCCAATTTATTTACTTTTTTACTATAAAAGCTTCCACATCTAGCCGAAATACCTGTAAAGGTAAACAGAAAAGTCAAGAATACGTTACTTTATATTCTATTGGCAACAAGCAAAATGTATGTTCAGCAGAACAGTATCCATTTTTAGCGCATTTTGCAACGAAGTTGGGTGCGCTATTGCAGCCAATTTCTCTGTCCGTCCGAGGCCTTAACTACTCCTACTGTTTCAAGATATTTAATTCGTTCTTTTTGCATTCGGTCGGTAGCGTATAGCTCTGGCACCTGGATCCAGGAAAATCATGACGATTAAACTCCTCAATATCAAGTTTCTTATTTCTTAAATGTTTTGTTGAAATTTTGACCAGAGATACTTCTAGTAAAGGAAAACATATCGCATGTAGTAAAAATCAGATGTGTGTATGCGCAAACTGCGCTATGATAACTTCTTATTGTGGAGATATTTCTTTGAAATTTTAACCAAAGATGCTTTTAGCGAAAGGAAACGTATCGCATATTTTACACACCACGTTAATGTGCGCATGCGCAGTATCAAATTTATCAAGATATCTTTTTGAAATTTTAATCACAAATGCTGCTGTTAAAGGCAAACATATCTGATACCTTAATTGCAAACATTAGATATACGCATGCGCAGTCAGTGCCAACTTCCTTATTTATGAAGATATTTCTTTGAACTTTCAACCATAGATGCTTCCATGTAAAGAAAAACATGTCACATGTATTAAACGTCGAAAACTACAAATGTCATTAGCAAATGCAAACACATCGCACATAGTAAAAATAAAATGCGCGGATGCGCAGACTGCAAAATTTCAATGAACTGCCCAAAAATATATTATGTCGTATGAACTTTTTTGATACGATGCTTCATTTAGCGGCAAAAATATAAAACATGAAATTCAGTTTTTCCCTCTAATCTCGCTGTATCTATTTATTTTGTACAGTGCGTAAATTTTACCTATTAACATACAAATCTCCTACGTTCAATTCCCTGTCCAATGAAAATTCGCCCAGATTATCATGCCCACATAGCAGACCTATATACATTGCATATAATATGCACATTCCACGTGGGATTTTGTATATCCATAGAATGTGGAAAAGTATGTCGCAAATGTCCGATGTATGTGCATAGGATATAAGTTTGGCAGACTTCACATAATACATAGTATACCGGGTGGTGCCTAGCGCGACGCAGCATAGGGATTTCAATGGTAATTTCTTTATAGTCAATTACTAGCTCCCCTAATTATTTTAGAGCAAGTCTAAATACGTTTTTTTTTGAGAAAAAAATACTGCATCTGGTCATACTATTACTTATAATTATCCGTTTTTCAAGACCGTAGAAATCGACAAAATAAAAAATTACATTTTTATAAATCAGTGATGCTTTGGAATCTTTTAACAAACTACAAGCGCATCGCATCTAAGCTATCGTTGTTTAACGTCGAACAATTTTCATATTTAATTCTGTTCCAACTATCCGACGAAAGAAAAAGCGTCTATGGAGTAGGTACCTATAATAATGTTTTTTAGAGAATGTAATGCTGCATCTGCATCAGA